TTAACTTTTTTCTAAGAATTTCAGCCTGTGTGTAGATAATTTTAAGACGACTCCCTGGGAGGTAGGATTATATCATACCTGTTTTACAGGTATAGAGAGTACAAGGTATCTAAGCCCTAAATCAATAATTCTGAGGTTTAACCATTTGAATACACCCTTATACCTCAGGAAAATTAACAAATGAATCCATGTAGAGGTGGAATTTTTGGTACTTTTGTTTTAGTTATCTATGTGAGATTTAGTGTCTTCATCAGGTATCTTTAAAAGCTTTAAGGCTCTAAGGTCATTTAATGCTATACTTTGATGAGTTATTCACAAAAATTTCTGCCTTCTGCATATATTTTTGAATGCTCATGCAGATATTTGTAAATGTTTATGGACTTGCTGGTATGCATTAGATATACTTTTTTTTTTTTTTGTTAGGCAGTGGGGTTAAGTGACTTGCCCAGGGTCATACATAAGTGTTATATGTCTGAGGTCGGATTTGAACTCAGGTCCTCCTGAATCCATGACTGGTGCTCTATCCACTGAGCCACCTAGCTGTCTCCTAGATATACTCTTAATATTAGACGTACAAGTGCAGAAATACATATAGTTTCTATAACTGACCAGATTGCTTATTTTGTAAGTTATACATTTCCTATAATTGAGAAACTCTTCCAAGGTGATATGTTCATAATTTTATGAAGAATTATAAATAAAAATGAGTAATATAACATTAATTTTATATCTTCAGTGTAATTTTGACATACCTTCATAAACAATGTCATTAAATCTAAATGAAGTTAGTTGGCAGACCTTCTCTGACCTCTTTCCCTTCCATTAAGCATTTTTAAATAGTACAATAAGACCTTGAATGCTCAGGGAGTGGTGTTTCCTGGTTAATCCCTTTAATTTTAACAGTGTTGGAAACATTACTAATGTACTAATCTTTGGTCTTAAGCCTGTTCTGAACATCATTCTTTTGATTATTCAAAAGTGCTTCGTTATTGAGGGTCATCACTCTAAATGTTCTCCTTTTATCCTGCTTCACATGCAGGCATTTTGAATATCTGCGGGATCCGGGACATATCTTGAAAGTTTATTTTTTAAAATAAATATAAATATACATTATCTTTGTCTAAAGACGAAGTGTTTTGAATGGGAGTAGAAAGGTAGAATTCTGGTTAATTTTGTTTACTTAAGTCCTTTATTTTGTTCTCTACCCCAGACATAGAATGGTTCAACTGTGATGCCTCTAAACAATTTATAAAGACAACGTAGTCCAATCTATTTTTCTAGGAAAAATCAGATCAAAAATACTACTTAAAAGATAACATAGCTAATTGATGGAATCAGGAATAATTTAGATATCTCTCTGATACTCTTATGCTGTGCTATGTGTATCAATATTCATTTATTTATAATTTAAATCCTTGGTTCATGGACTTTGAGCTGAAAGGAACTTTGAGACCAACCCTTACATCTTACAGATGAGGAATCTGAGGCCCAAAGAAGTCAGTTAACATGCCCTAGGTCACCTAGTGGTTGAGCCAGGATTTGGATCACGTTCTTTTTACTCTTAAATTCATCATTCTTCCTGCCACTCTGTGCTTCCGGAATCCTTGATTCATCAAGTTTGCATCTGGTTTCATATTAGGAAATAATATAATAAAATTTCCATTCCTCTTCTAAGGATCAGAGTTGACAGAATGTCAGTTGGAGTTTTGTAATTGGAATACAAAGGATGATCACTCTTCAAAGCAGAAAAGCTTTAATACACAACCACCAAAGTACCATGTTTTACAAAAGTTGAGAAAGAAATATCTTTGTTTCTTTTTTGCCTTTATAAAAATTTGTGGTCCTCTAGCATGTATAAGACCTTTTTGGTTCTATACCCTGATTTTAAATTAGATTTGGAAGAAGTTGAATAACTAAATTCTGTGCTCTACCAGTAATTTAATTTATAATAGAACTTTTCCAGAGAATGTTGTCCATAGTCATTAAAAAAAATGAGTTTCTTTGTTGTTTCTTAGCTTCCTAAGGAATTAAAAATGATTGAGATAGAATGAAGTTCTCCTTTATTGTGCAGTTTTCTGATTAATTTAACTTATAATGTAGAGTGTTAACAGTTTTAAATTATAGGCTAATAAATATTTTAAAAATAAGGCAGTTCCTAAAGTTCCATGGTTAAGTCTTTTATTCCTTAAATTCTTAACACAGCTTTGTTTCCTTGCCTCAAAACTTAATCCTCTGTTATTTCCACAGCAGCCTATTATGATGTTGAAAACCGGATTTCCAATTATTAAGTCATCAGCAGAAGCAAGTAAGATCGTTATATCTTTTTTTTTTTTAATGTAGCTTTTGGCAGAAAAGTGTGTTTTAATAATATGTTAAGCATCTTTAAAATTGAGAGTAAATGCAGAACCTCTAAAAATGGATCAAGACACTAAAGGTCGTGGAGAAGATTAAAGTAGGGGAGAGTGTCATAAGAATTGTAGCTGTGAAAATCCCATGGTAACATATGCTGTATACTGGTTATATGAATGGGATGGGTCCAATTCTTTTTTTTTCTTAATTTAAAATATTTATTTTTAGTTTTCAACATTCACTTCCACAAGATTTTGAGTTCCAAATTTTCTCCCCATCTCACCCCTCCTCCCACCCCAAGACGACGTGCATTCTGAATACCCCTTCCCCTAATCTGCCCTCCCTTCTATCAATCCCCCCCCCTTTCTCTTATCCCCTTCCTCTTCTATTTTACTGTAGGGCAGGATAGATAGATTTCTATTCCTGTATATCTTATTTCCCAGTTGCACATAAAAGCAATTTTTAACATTTGTTTTTAAAACTTTAGGTTGGGTTCCAAATTCTCTCCCTTCCTCCCTCCTCATCCACCCTCACTGAGAAGGCAGGCAACTCGATTCAGGTTACACTACATGTGTAGTCATGCAAAACACTTCCATAGTAGTTATGCTGTGGAAAACTATATTTCCTTTCATCCTATCCCTCCCCCACCCCCCCCTTTTATTCTATTCTCTCTTTTGACCCTGTCCCTCCTCAGAAGTGCTTGCTTCTGATTATCCCCTCCCCTGATCTGCCCTCCTTTCAATCATATTCTTCCCCCCCCCACTTTCTTATCCCCTTACCCCCTATTTTCCTGTAGGGTTACCCAACTGAGTGTGTATGTTATTCTCTCCTTAAGCCAAATCCGATGAGAGTAAGATTCACTCATTCATTCCCTGTCACCTTGCCCACTTCCCCTCCACTGTAAAAACTTTTTTGTTGTCTGTTTTCTGTGAGATAATTTTGGGTCCGATTCTTCATGGCCCTTTTCCCATACTCTTCTCTTACACATCCTTGAGATTTGTAGGGATATAGGAAAGAAGAGTTAGAGTTATGGAATTTGTGTTATTTTTTGGTAGCAACGCATATATGACTAAAGCATCAGATATGCACAATCTCCTACACGTTATGTAACCTCTGGCATGCTTTTTGGGAATTGTATGAGAGAGTGTGTGTGTGTGTGTGTGCGCGCGCGTGTGTGTGTGTGTTTTGAAACCAAGGTGGGAAATATATGCACAAAACCCTTTTATGCTTTGCTTAGTACTTACTCAAAATTATAGAACACGTAATGTTAATATACTCATTTTTCAGATGATGCTGAGGTTTGCCAAGATTATTACTTATCCAGGTTCACATAGCTAGTGACAGCTAGAACTGAATTCAGCCAGGTCCTTTGATTTCCCAAAAGTCGCTGCCTTTTCTACTATTGCAGTCTGCCTCTCGTTCCACAGTGATACTGCATAGATGGTTCAGTATAATGTAAGTGTGTAAACTGCACTTTATAATATAATTCTTGATTCAGTAATTATTTGTTGGATGTCATCTCTGAAAATTTAATTTCTAAGCACAAAGGGGAAATACAGAAGAAATGATGTCTTAATTCAAGGTACCTATATTCTGCTATATAATTTTTCTACATTGCAAGGTTTGAAAGAGTCATGTTCAGCACAGGAAAGAATACTCCTATCATTTAAATATTGAATCCAGTTCACAATAAGCCATAAATATGCACTATGTGCCTAGGACAGTTGCAAAATTGGGATAGGATGTATTGAAATTAAAATTGTTTATTCACCTTCACTATATTTGTATAATTCTTTAAAGAGCTTGAAGTTAATAGTGGGAAATAACTGATTTAATTACTTATTTGTTTTGAAAGTCAGCAAGCACTTGAATATCTTAGGAGAGATAAAATTGTTGATAAAACTAGTAATTTCTGATTCTAGAGTTGTTGCTTAGATGTTTTTAGCAAAGTTCTTGCCAAATAAAATATTTCCTGATTAACTTAAGGTTATTGTTATTAATTTATCAATTAGTTTTTCTTTAAAGATCATTTGAATTTCTAGTTACTCTGGAAAATTGGTTTAGAATTGAAGGTAACCATACCTTGGATTTACATGCTCCCTCCAAATTATATTATGAAAAATAAAGTATTGCTAAATCTTTAGTAGCAGACAAACTCAAAATATCTGCATATGAATGTTATTTTTTGTATCGTGCCAAATTTCTCCAAGTTTCTGACTCATCTGTACAAGTGCAGAGTCTAGTCGTCTTTATCACTAGGGATAAATTGTAAATTAGCAAATTAGGGTTTTAGTATTTATACATCATTTATCAAAGCTAATCATTTTGTTTAAGCTAATGATGTCCTGCCTTGATTTTGGCCACTTGTAAATAATCATATATTAAATTGTATATCCAATACTTGGGATCAAAGTTTATTTAAACTTTCCTTAATATTTCTAATTAAGGTTGAAGGATCTCCCTTTAACTAAATTATTCTTAACAGCAAGCTCTTTATAACCAGTTTATGTGTATATGATTTAGTAACTGCCTATGGTAATAATATTATGAAATCTGTATCAGAACAACATTTATTAGATTATAGTACTGAATTCTATTATTGTATACTTAGCATTTGCTGTATATGGGATACAGGCATCTTTATTATTTAAAAAGGAAGGAAGTTTCTAGGTTCAGGCCCTTGTCCCAGATTGTCAGTCTTTATTACAAGTTTCTTGCTGCAGTGAAGTATTAATAGACACTGATTCAGCTGACCAAGCTAGGTAAATGATCTTTGGCTTTTCATTATATATTCCTTGGAATGGATAAATGAATAGGATTTTTTTTTTCATGCATTTTTTCAAGGTAATTTTGAGGGGTCGGTCCAAGTACAAATTTGAGGATTATGCCAGGTTCTAGTATTGCCTGCCTCCTTCCCGTTTTCCCCTCCACTGTAAAAGCTTTTCCTTTCTTGTCTCTTCTGTCAGATAATATTCCCCTTTCTTCTTCTCCCAGCATCTCTTTTTTACTCTTTACTTACATCTTTTTTTTAAATCATCCTATCGTAGTCAACTCATACCTTTGCCCTCTGTACACTCCTTCTAACGACCCTATTAATGATAAAGTTCTTAGTAGTTGCAAGTTTTATCTACCCATGTGGAATATAAACAGTTTAACTTTATTGAATCTCTTACGGTTTCTCTTTCTTGTTTATCTTTTTATTCTTCTCTTGAGTCTTGTATTTGAAAATCAGATTTTCTATTCAGCTCTGGTCTTTTCATTAGAAATGCTTGAAAGTCCTCTATTTCATTAAATAGCCATTTTTTTCCCTTGAAGGATTATACTCTGTTTTCCTGGATAGGTTATTCTTGATTGTAATCCTAGCTCCTTTGCCTTCAGCAATATCACTCCAAGCCATTATATTCTTTACAGTGGAAGCTGCTAAAACTTGTGTTATCCTTACTGTAGCTCTTAGATATCTAAATTGTTTCTTTCTGTTTGCTTGTGTGTTTTCTCCTTGACCCAGGAGGCCTAGAATTTGGCTATAATATTCCTGGGAGTTTTTAATTTAGTATCTCTTTCAGGAGGTAATTGTTGGGTTCTTTCCATTTCTGTTTCACCCTCTGGTTCTAGGATATTGGGGCAGTTTCCTTGATGATAATTTCTTGAAATATGTTTAGGCTCTTTTTTTTTTTTAATCATGGCTTTCAAGTAGTCCAGGTAGTTGTTTTTCCAGTGAGATATTTCACATTTTCTTCTATTTTTTCATTCTTTTGATTTTGTTTCTTGATGTCTCATGGATTCATTAGCTTCCAGTTGCCCATTTCTAATTTTTCAGGAATTATTTTCTTTTGTGAATTTTTGTACCTCTTTTTTCCATGTGGCCAAGTCTGCTTTTTAAGATGTTCTTCTCTTAAGTGGATTTTTGTGCCTTTTTCTGTTTTTTAAGATGTTATTTGCTTCAGTGGTTGGTTTTTGTTTTTGTTTTTGGTGCCTCTTTTACCAAGCTATTGATTTTCTTTAAATAATTTTCTTGAGCATTCTCATTTCTTTCTCCAGTTTTACCTTTCTAATTTGATTTTTAAAATCCTTTTTTTTTTTAATTCTTCCAGGAATTCTTGTTGGGCTTGTGTCAATTCACTTTGTTTTTCTTTGCAGCTTTGCTTATCCATTGTTACATTCTGAGTTAGTAACCTGATCATCTATGTCACCATCGTAATTTTTTATGGCCAGGTTCCTTTTTTGTTGTTTGCTCATTTTTTTTCAGCTTATTTCTTTTACTTTTATGTTGAAGTTGGGCTGTACTCCCATTGACTGTCCCAAGCTTTAGGTTTTTCATACTTCTGTTTTCAGAGCTAGATCTGGGAGGTCTGTAAGTTTTCAGTGCTTCCAAGGTGGTTATTACCTAAGGAGAGGTGTGGTCACTGTTCGCCTGACCTGTGCTCTGATCTTTACTTTATTCCCCTGTAGTTGCAGGTGTTAGCTTTCCTCTTGGCCCTAAAACTAACTGATTCCTCTGCTCTCCTACAGCCTCAAGCACTAGTGCTCCTTTCTGCCTTGGAACCAAGACCAGGACCCCTACTCCCTGGTGAGCAACCACTAGCACTCTTCTCTACCTTAGAATTGTGACCAGGGTCCTTGTTCCTCTGCCCCCGCAAGTGGTAGTGTTCCTCTTTGCCCCGGAACTACAAATGGCCAGTGCAAGAGGGTCCTGAACCTAGCACCAGCAAAGGCCCTATAATCTCTCTCTGATCAGTTATCAGACCCTATTTGTGGGCTGAGAGCTCCTGAAGCTGCTCCTGCAGCTGACAGCCTCCTGGTCCAAGGCTGTGCTCTAGGCCAAGTCACCACCCCAGTGAGATAGACTTTTCCTGTGGACTTTCTAAGTTGTCTTGGTCTGGAGTATTGTTTCACCCCAACCTTTTGTTTGGTTCTGCTGCTCCAGAATTTGATTTGAAACATTATTGTAAAGTTATTTGCAGGGGAATTTGGGAGAGTTCAAGTGCCTCTACTCTGCCATCTTGGCTCTGCCCTCATGCCAAGTTCTGACAGTGTTAAGAATGATTTGTTAAAATTTAATTTGGTATTAAGATATAAAAGACTTAAAGCATGGAAAAAATTTAGAATTCTTGTTTTGGTATATATAAGTTTGATAGTTTCTTTATTCAACAATACTCTGAAATTTTACATTTCAAGTTAATTTCTTAAGCTTATTTAATTTGTTGATTAACATGGTTTAAAATCACATACAGGAGAACAACAAGATCACATCAGCAGAAGAGAATACCATTATTTTGTTTTTTTTTTTTCTTGATCTCTTGACTGGTCTGAACTGAGATTCTTTCTCAACATCTACGACTAAAACAGTCTCCACTGTGGGATGAGGTAGTAGGTTGTATAGTTTTAGGGTCACACCCACCACTGGGAGATAACTATACAATCTACTGTCTTTCTTAAAGTGGGAGGAAATCTTCAGGAATATTGTTTTTATTTGAAATTAATAACTAAATGGCATAGAATAGTTTGGTCACAACTCATTATAATGTGCATCATATAAATTATATTTGAATGTGCAGCATTCATTTGTTTTCACATTTTAAAAAAATAGTTTTGTCAGCATCTGGTTTAAGGGAAAAATCTACTTTCCCACATTTATGTCTTAAAAATTCATGGACTTGTATTTTTTCTTAAGTATATCTCATGTTATTTTGCCTCTAATGGCATAAACATATTTGGATGAGTTACAGAGAAATAAAGCAATTACTGAACATAATTATGTTCTACCTGCTTGGGTAAAAAAAACTATCTCACACAGTTCCTTATGTCTGTTGACTTGAGAACAGTATTATTTCCGCTGTAATGATTAACTGAAATTTAGATAAAGTTCAGGTGTCCAAGTTACCATATAAAGCAGTTTGAGAACAGTGAATATGACTTTTTTTGTTTTGTTCTTCTTTTTCTTCTTACTTTTTGTAACCCTCTATACATTTGGACCTTTAGATTAAGCAAAAAAGTTTTTATATTATGTCAAAAAAAAATTTTTAATTTGTAAAATTATAAGTATCTATCATAGCTATGTTAAAATAAATGGTTTTATACTTATCTTTCTGAAAGATTTCGATCACCATTGCTTAAGATTGCTCTATCAGAGTGAGGTAGTAGATTGTATAGTTGTGGGGTAGTGATTTTACCCTGTTCAGGAGATAACTATACAATCTATTGCCTTCCCTGAGGAGTAGACGTTCTACTGTTCTTTGCTGTGGTTTGAATCTGCTCAATTTTTCAAAGTTGGGAATATTTCAATTCATAATCCTATTATTGTATTTTCAAATTTACAGAGAAGTTTCTTAAAATGCTAATTTTACAGGTACAATCAATATTAAGAGTGTACACTACACTAACTACATAGAAGGCTATGTTCACCTGATCTGGCATATTGGGTTCAATCATGAATACCATATTTTAGAAAGGACATTAGTTTATCAAACAGAATGGTGAGTTAGAATCATATCATATTAGAATCAGTTTAGCTTACCAAAAAGACTAGAGGAAAATGATAGTTGTCTTCTAAGTATTTGAGGAGCTGTTGCTTGGAAGGGGGACTAGACTTGTTCTCGTTAGTGTCAGAGAGCAGAATTATGAACAGTAGGTGGAAATTCTAAATAAGCAAATTTAGACTTAAGATTAAAAAAAAATTCTAACAGTGATTCAGAGGTAGTACATGGGAGTTCTTCAGAGTAAGACTAAGTGACCTCTTTCCGTGTCTGCAATAGAGGGAATCCATGTCTAAGTCTGGCTTCTGAGGTCCCAGCTCTGAGACTGATTCTATGAAGGTAACACATGTCGACATACCTGAGCAGTAATATTTTTGAAACCAAAAGATTTTTTTTTTTAGAATTGGGAGAATATCCTACTTAAAGGAGGATTGGCACAGTTTTTATTTGAAAAAGAGTTCTACAAACAAGCAAGGGTCTACCTAAAGTTGTAAAATATTCACATTGTATTACCAGTGAAGATAAATACTTCTGTACTTTTTCTTCCTCCTCCCCCAAAAAGCCAAAGAGATCAAAATACATGATACTTTTCTATTCACAGAAGCAATTCAATGAGTATTAAAAGGACATTATGTGTAACTTGATTTGCTTATGAAATTGTGTGGGTAGTATTTTAAATTTTACTGTAAATTTCCAAAATTGCATATTCTTGAATTTACTGTTTAATTTTAAGCTGTATTAAAATTGTGTATACTGCTAAAACTTAAGGAATCTCCCATCTTAGTTTTTTTTTTTAATTTGAGAAGCAACAAAAGGTTGAACAGATAAAAATAGACAAATTCATACTGTAGCAAAGTTTTGTGTTTTTGAACTTGTTCTTCCATAGTGTCAAGAACATAGAGAAACTATGTAAAATTAGCTCATCTGAAAGACTTGCCACATATAACTAATCAGTATCCTTTCTGATTATCAGGAGTGTGTGCTTCATTTTCATCATAATATTTTCAAACTTGAAGGTTTGCCAGGATTTAAACAAACATGCAGCCTGTTCAGTTTTTCTTCATGTTGGTGCATTTCTAAGTATACCAATCTGGGCATATTTCAGAAATCTAAAAAGCTTGAAGCAGACAAAAAGAAAGAATTAAAGGTATAAAATGATAGGCCATCAGAGTTGCAAGGAGGGTTGTTTGTGCTACAGGCTATCTGCAACCAGGACATGCACCTGAAGATGTTGAAATGTCAGCAGCATTTGAAAGTACTTGCTCCACTGCACATCCTACATGCTGTTTGCTTTGTAATTCCACCAAATGCAGTAGCAGTGATAGCATTACTTTCCCTTATTTGAATCCTGAATTTGAACTTTTTAGCAGAATAAACTGACAAAATTTTCCCGGTTTCTTGAAGATTTTTCACATTATTTGTTTTTATAATTGAAACAGCACTTGGATTCTTAATCAATTAAAAAAAAACAAACCTCTGGTACAGAATGTCTACCAAGTAAAATGTGTGATTCAGATTCGATAATTTCTAAAGAAAATAATATTAGACTGCAGCGAACACTGCAGCTGAAATGACAATTCACAAGTAGTGTTCTTTATGCTTCTAGAAAGTTGTTTCTTTTATCATTTGTTGAAGATCTTTGTTTTCATAGCACTTTCAAAGGACAGAGCTGTTTTTCCCCATTGAACATTTAAATAGTAATTTTGCTCTTTTAATATATTTTTACTTGTTTTTTACATTCAGTCATTTCAGACTCCCCCTACCCCACCTCTATTGATACATCTAATGGTGTGTACAACACTCTGCTCTAATAATCCCTCACTCCTCTCCCATGGAGAAAGATGTTTCCTTATTTGTTCTCTGGATCTTCATTAGTTTTTTCATTAATGAAGAGTCAGCTTCCTGTATTTAAAGTGTTTTGTGAAAAAACTAAAATGCTATGTGTAACATTAGCTATTGTTTTAGTGAACTTCATTTAAATTGTTTTCCGTTGTGTTTAATCTCTCTGTTTTGGTTATTTCTGCCTGCATCCAATTGTAGAGACCTTCCTGTGTTCCTTTGAATTCCTCATATGCGTAGTTTCATAACATACAAAAATATTACATCAAATATTTAAGTGACAATCTGTTACATGCCATGTGTTTGCCATAATTTTCCTGAACATTCCTCAACCCAAACTCTTCTTGTTTGCAGTTTTTACTAACAGTGCCACTATGAATATTCTGGAATATATGGACTTTATTTTTCTCTGATTTCCTTGGGGAATGTCCCAGTAAATTCTGAGATCACTGATTTAAAGGATGGAGGATATTGTAGTCACTTTTATTGCATAATTCCAGATTGAAATATACTTTGTTTCCAAGAGTATAAATATACTTGTCTCCCATTTTTGCCAGTTTGCTGGGTGTGAGTTATTTGAAACCTATTTTACCTTGCATTTCTCTTATTGTTAGTGACTTAGAACATATTTTCATGTGGTCATTTATAGCTTACAATTCTTATTTTGAAACTTGATATCCTTTGTATTCATTTCTTAAACTCTTAAATTCATCGTTTGTTGTTTGATATTATGGAAACATCAACTAACAAGGTTGTGAGAAAGACCTGGGTTTTTCAACCCCGTTCTCCTGATGTAGGCACATTTCGTTTTCATTGGGAAAATGGATTACATTTAGGCTATCTCTGAGATAGTTTCTAGCTCTGAAAATTGATTTTTATACAGCAAGTACTGTATTAGTCTCTTTTACATGTTTTATAGCTCTTTGGGGTTTTCATTCTTTTTCAAGATTGACTTTAGGTCATGGAGTGGACAAGCTATTACAGTACTGAATGGTTGCATAGATATTTGTCCATTATGATTGCTCTCCCATGCTGCTATCATTTTATTTGTATTACTAGCAAAACAAATATTAAACGATTCCTTATTTATATAGAACTAAGTGTTTTGAGGCTAGTATATTTCACTTGGGCTTCTTGTTACATTTTTGTTTTTTAAAAACTGATTGAGGTATAACCACATAACGGGCAAGTTTATCCATTTATCTGAATACTCTTAATATAGGAGACCTCATTGATTCTTCGCACAGATTCCATTACCAGTTTATATTTGGACTCTCAGTGTCTATTTTGTAGTGTTTTCATTAGCAGCTCATATTTGGATTCTCAGAAAATGTAATGCTTTGGTGGTCTTGGTAATGTAAAAACTTATTGCCACTGCATTTTCTTGTATTGAAAGTGGTGTTCCAGAAGAATATTGCATTTTTAAGGGCCTTGGTTAATTTTTCACATGTGTATGTTATTTATAATATTTACTTTATACTTGTGTTTTATACTTATATTGACTTGTAAACAAGTTATCATCATGTCTACCCCTCTAACTTTAAGAGCTTTGATGTAAATAGGTACTTATAATACTTGATTATTTGATGTTTGGATGTTTGTTTTTCCGAACTTTATAAATCTCAAGAACTGAAGGCCAAGAGGAGCCCAGTTGCAACTGTCTTCCAACTCCAAGGTATAGATACTTGCTGTCATTCCTTTGACCTGTGTCTTCTGACCAAGCCCACCATAAGCTTCTTGTTTCTAATCTCTTGAAGAATAAATGGACTCTAGTACTATTCCGACTCTTATTTCCATTTGTTTGAGAGCTAACCCAGCTTTTAATCAGAGAGGAGGTACTAAATCTTCTGAAAATGTCTGTGGCCCCTCCAGGCAGAAATACATCTTGCTCTTTCTTTTGATGGTACTGTGAGATTTGTCAGTGCACAGAAATTGTAAAGATCGCCCTGTTCTCCAGTCTTCCCCAAACCTTCAGAATATGCCCAGAATGACCAAGAACATTTGCTATTCCTTGCTATAGGACGAAAGCCCAGAATTTCAAGCATGTTGGTACAAGTTTAAAAGGAGGATTTGCTCTGTTTTCTAGTCCAGTTTTATAAAGGTCAGAGAAACAGAACCCTCTTTGGTGTCTTATTTTCCAAAGGAAACTTGGAAAAATCTTAGTACTATTTGATTAAATTTCTATGGTTTTGCACAGATACTTTTTGCCCTACAAATGATTTAATTAATTAGCGAGGGATGAGTTAGGTTTTCAAACTGTTCATCTACATACCATTAGTATAACTGGCTATTCAAAGTATGGGTCAGTAAAATCAAGAATGCAATGCAGTTTTAGTGTTAGAATCTTCTGGAGAATGTGGAGCAACAAACTCAATAAATATGCTAGAAAAATTGGTTTTAAGGCACTTTTTTCCTTCATTGCTCCAGTATTAACTTTTCATGGAGGATAGTCTATAATAGATTTATTAATTAGGTGCTGTCAAATAATGTTTACAGTATTGCCTACTGTGCTTGATGGAATCATTTCCTTTATAACATTTTTGAATATTTTGTTAAAATAAATTTAACAAGTATAAGTATTTGTAGTCTTAAGAACAGTATGAATGGAAGGAATAATTGGTCTAAATTTCAGGAACTAAATATTATGAATGTGGCCTAAGCTAGCAGGTTGGTTCACAGTGCAGCTGCCAAATAGAAGAATTGCAGAAGAATGAATGGGCTCCTAGGAAGAGGTAGTAGGTTGCATAGTTTTAGGGCAGGGATTTTGCCCACAAGCAGTTAACTATACAACCTGCTGCCTTTCTTAGGGCTCTATGATTACAACGGAACCTGTTCTTGCCTCAGTTTAAGTAGATGTCTCCATGTTAAACGGGGGTGAGGGTGGGAGAAAAATAGAGCTATACAAAAAGCACAAGTATAATTAGTGATGTATATTGAAGTAACAGCAGGTTTGGTCACAGCCTGCAATTACTAGGATTCCTCAATAAAAATCATAGCTACTGAATTTATTTAGGTATCAAGAACATTAGCCTAACGATCTGAAAATAGCGGTTGGGTTCACAAGATGAACTTGGACGAAAAATCTATTTAGTTGTATTTAAAACTTCTTTATTATTTAATCCAGAGAGATCAGTGTGTTTATTATTGATGAGGTATATATTCATGTAACCTAGGTCTTTAATATTAAGTCTAGATGTGTCACATGATATTGTTTAATTTTTGTGTGTGGGGGGGTGCCTATAAATTGCCTCTTTAAAATATTGTGAATTTCCTTAGAATATCAAGATGCCAAATGTGAGTAGTCATGCTGTTCTATAAATTATTATTTTAATAGTACAGAGAGAATACAATTATGTTTTTAGGACATGCTTAGAAAAATTTTTTCAGTAGTGGACAGCTTAGAAACTTTTTCAGTAATAGATTGGAATAGATGGCCTTGGAGCTTTGCAATAGATTCTCTGAAAACTGGGTGCATGTAAATGTAAACTTTCCCTATTCTCACTTCCCTAAAGAATAGATAGCCTCTTCCAATTTGTTGGGCTTTAAAAAATATCTGTTATTTGAGTTAAAGCTGTATGATAAAAATTGTTGGATATTCGATTTAATTTTATTCCCCCCTCCCCAAGATTTTGTGTTAACTGCTACTTTAATTTGCTTATTGTGAACTCTTGCGTATGTGTAGGGGAGAATGAGCTATCAGCAAATAAAAATCTGTTCCAAATCTGCTTTTTGTGTTTCACTCACAAGAGCTCGTTTCAAGATTTACAGAAATGCATAAGTTAATTCAAGTGTCCCATGATTGGTGATTTTTTTGGAGGGCTGAGTGGACTCAAACTAGTGACTTGGTGTACAGAGCTCAGTGTAAGGAATCTCAATATGCATAGGGAACTTAGAAATCACTAGGTTCAGCCCCAGAATTTACAGGTGGGAAAACAGGAATGAAGAGGTAATATGACTTCCTTTGCATTACACAACTAATGTCTTGAGGTGGGATTTGAACACAGGTCTTACTGACTCAGTCCTATGCTCTATACACACTTAAAAGCATTTCTAGACATTAAAGTGACTTACCCAGCATCATAGTAATGTTTTAAAAACTTGAACCTGGTGCTGTGTGTTGAGGCCAGCTCTCTTCCCTCCTCCATGTGCTATGTTGCCTCTGATCTTCAGATTTAAACACAGGTGTGGAATAGCTGTTTGGCTTGAATATAGGTCAAGTCGCCCACCCTAATTTCATGGGAACACCATTTTAGGCATGCAGCCTATATTTTAGCAAGTATTTATCAAGTTCTTACTACGTACCAGGCACTGTTAGCCACTGATAAAAGTAAAAGAATGAAAGAACCCATACTATTCAGTGATAGCCTTTTGTTTGCCTTTTTTGTCCATTCCTGAGAATATCACATCTACTTTTGTAAAATTTTGTTATTTGTAGAATGTTAGTATATTTTGATAAGCTAGGGAAAAATGCATACCTAATTTTAGGGCTATCCTAAATCTTTTATGATAATTGTTATAAGAGTACATCCGTCCACCCCAACCTCCCATGCTGACCTACTTGCACTTATCTTGGTTTTGTAATTTCTAGCCTTAGAGACATTTTCCTGAGATTAAATTTTAGTAAACATTCATTAAACATCTGCTTTGTACAAAGTACTTGCTGGGTGCTGGAGTAAAACTTTGTACCTCTCCGGGAGTTCTAAGAGTTTGTGGAAGAACAAAGATAGTAACTACTAATATTGAAACTATTACAGGTAGAAAGTACTATTTAAGGACCTAAGAAAACACGTTTCCAGCAGTGATTATAGTCACTAATGTTATTCCTGATAAATTGCTTAACTTAGTAAATAAGGTTAAATTGGAAAACCCCAAGGCTATGTTCCCCTTTAAACTACCTAGCAAATGATGGAAAATTGATCACAAGATAATAAAGGGTTAGTCATTAATGTGTCAGGTAAAATTTGGAAGGATTTCTGAGAATGCCTGTTTCCTCTTCAGTTTGTCCCAATATTAAATATCAGATGTTTTTCTTTTAAGTAGAACTGAAATATTGTCAACAATTGGAATTCATTTCTACCCTGGAAAAGTTTGGATAATTATTAAAAGTTGCAAAACACTTTTTCTTTTAAGCCCTTTAATAACCCTGAATTAGGACCACGATTAATCTCTTAAAACTTAGGAAAATGAGGTTTGCTGTGGTTATGGCTACCATGAGATGTTTCAAACACATGTCTTTTCTGACTCCCAAGTATAACATTCCATCCACTGTATCACCCTACCATAACCAATATAGCTTTCTTTAAAGTGAAAAAAAAAAAATGCTATGCTAAACCAGCCTAATGTTCCATCTGGCTGCCAAGACCTACATAAATATTCCTGCTATCAGCCAAATGTTTGCATAACTGGCATTTGTCTTTCTGTATAAGAAGCACCATATGAATAGGTTAACCATATGTAGGTTACAAGGTGAACTGGTAGTTCAGTTTGCCCAAAGCACATCTGACCTTAAGGCCACATGTGCCCCTCTAGGTCCTCAAGTGCAGCCTGTTGACTGAATCCAAACTTCACAGAACAAATCCCCTTGAAAGGATTTGTTCCATCAGTCAAAAAGCGATGCCCAAGAACCTAGATGGCCACGTGTGCTTTAGACTGCAGGTTCCCCATCCCTGCTTTAAGTAGAGGAGAGTCTCACTGCGCATATAGACCTAGAATTAAAATTTTAGGCCCTGGAAGGAGTGTTCCTGGAACCCTCTGATACTTGGTTGCCCTTTTCCAGCCTTACTGTATCTTCCTAGTTTTCCAGGCTTAAGCACATGGTTATTTTATACAATAGGATGATGGTTGTTGCTTCATTTCCTAATGATAGCCAACATTTTGTAGGCTCCCCTCAGTCCTAGCAATACATAAATACATCATCATGAGTGTATGGTTTTTAATGTTAAATGGTTTAGACAGGGAGGTTTTCAAGGTCCCACTAGCTCATAAAAACTAAAGTATAGTGATGATTTTTTAAAAATGGTCTCTCCAAGGTTCTCAAAATGTCAGTCATTAAGTGCTTATTGGGTGTTAGGCACTATACTAAGCACTGGGGATACAAAGTGAGGCAAAAACACTCTGCTCAAGCAGTTCATTCTAATGGAGACAACATACAAGTAATTATATACCTGAAAGATAAAATTGGACAAAAGTGACTTGCAGGCCAGAACTAGGTAAACTTGCAGTATGTGGGATTTGAGCTGAGCCTTGAAGCTAGGAGTCTAAAGTTTGGGGGGATAGGCTATGTATATACAAAAGGGTTGTTAAGCTTTTTAAATGCTGAATGAGGAAGTTAGGTTATTCAATCCAGGAAGGCAATAGGGAGCCACTGGAGTTTGCTGAATGAGGCAACGACCTGTGTGGGAGACAGATTGGAATGGGGAGCAAATTCCTCCAGTCCCATTGGTCCATTTTTATACAGCCTGCAAGCTAAGAATGGGTTTTTACATTCTTAAATACAAGAAAATTATTTGAAAATGTTAAAATTTCTTGCCTTGCATAGGCCTTATGAAAACAGGTAGAGGGCTAAGCAGGCTGTTGTATTAGTAGGCTATTGCAATAGTAAAAGTGAGAGGTCCATACAAGGGGTGGTAGTTGTATGAGTGGAAAAGAGATGAGTGATGTGAAAGTTATGTGAACAGATTTGTTATGTGGGGTGAGTGCAGATGAGTCAAGGATGATAGGTTATGGACCTGGGTGAATAGGAAGATGGTGCCCCGCCCCCCCCCCACTTAATAGTATTTATTTTTTTCCATTTACATGCAACATTTGGGTTTTTTGTTTTTGTTTTTGGTTTTTTTTGGCTAGGCAATGGGGTTAAGTGACTTGCCCAGGGTCACACAGCTAGTACGTGTTATGTGTCTGAGGTTGGATTTGAACTTAGGTCCTCCTGACTCCAGGGCCGTAGCTCTATACACTGCGCCACCTAGCTGCCCCCAACATTCACTTTTATGAGATATTCTAGTTCCAATTTTTTTTCTCCTTCCTTCCTCTCCAAGACAGCATATAATCTGACATAGGCTATACATGTAAAATCCTATTAGACATATTTCCACGTTAGTCATGTTGTGAAGGAAGAATCAGAACAAAAGGGAAAAACCTTAAGGAAAAAAAAATAGTATGCTTCGATCTGCATTCAGACTCCATAGTGCTTTCTCTGGATGTGGATAGCACTTTCCATCTTTAGAAATTGCCTGAGATCATTGTATTGCTGAGAAGAGCTAAGTCTATCAGAGTTGACAATTGCATAGTGTTGCTGTTAACTGTGTGCAGTGTTCTCTTTGTTGTGCTCACTTCACTCAGCATCAGTTCCTGTATGTCCAGGTTTTTCTGAAATCCGCTTGCTCATCATTTCTTAGAACAATTAATTTCTAATTCTTTGGATGATGGCTTTAAAAGGTAACTGGAAAGTTGAGATGGGAAGGTTTGGAAAGAAAATCTTTACAGGTACTTGAACTGCTTTGGGGAATTCACTATGACATATCTAAGAGGTAGTTGGTGATTTAAGACTGTAGCTCAAGTGGGAGATTGGGACAGGATATATATAGATCTGGGAATGTAATCTATATAAGAGACAATTGGACCCATGTGAGCTGATGAACTCACCAAGCAAGATAGGGAAAAGAAGAGGGACCAGGACGGAGCCACAGATAGTAGATGAGAACAATTAAGTAGTGTTTCATACCAAAAGACTGCTGAAGGAGACCTATATGCCAACAAAAATGATTATCATAACTCCAGTGCTGAGAAAGAAATGGCAGCAGTAAACATTTTTACAGTTTAGCTTTTTGCCTTTAGAAGAGGAACCATGTGCACAATACACAATAGTAATTGACCATTAGTAATCTAGTGTTTGATAAACCCAAAGATCCAAGCTCTTGGGACAAGAACTCACTATCTGACAAAAACTGGGAAAATTGGAAAACAGTCTGGCAGAAACTAGGTATAGATTAATACCTTCACACCATGTACCAAGATAAGGTCAAAATGGATACATGATTTAGATAATAAAGGGTGATACCATGGGCAAATTCAGGGAACATGAAATAGTTTACCCTGTCAGATCTATGGATAAGGGAAGGATTTATGACCAAGACAGCATTACAAGATGTAAAATGCATAGTTTTGATTATATTAAATTTAAAAAGGTTTTGCACAAACAAAACCAATGCAGCCAAGATTAGAAGGAAAGCAGAAAGTTGGGGGAAAATTTTCTACAGCAAGTGTCTCTTGATAAAAGCCATATTTCTCAAATATTTAGAGAACTGAGTCAAATTTATAAGAATTCAAGTCATTCCCCAACTGATAAATGGTCAAAGGATATGAACAGGCAGTTTTCAGATGAAGAAACCAAAGCTATTTATAATCGTGGAAAAAAATGCTCAATCACTACATTTAGAGAAATGCAAATTAAAATAATTCTGAAGTACTACCTCACACTTACCAGATTGGCTAATATGAGAAAAGGAAAATGACAAATGTTGGAGAGGATGTGGGGAAAATTGGGATACTAATGCATTGTTGCTGGAGTTGTGAACTAATCCAACCATTCTGGAGAGCAATTTGGAACTATATCCAAAGGACTATGAAACTGCATACCCTCTGACCCAGTAACACCTCTACTTAGAACTTCCCAAAGTGGGTGATCCCCCTCCTTGGGGGGCACTGGAACAACGGGGAGGGTCGTAGTAGCCTTGGGTGCAATTGAATAAAAATAAGAGGGTGGTGGAAGCAAAAGGAAAGAAAAGAAGATAAAAATTTGAAAAACCATTTGTACATGTTTCACCTATTGTGTAACAGTGTTAAAGTCAGTGATTACATTATTTTCCACATACACAAAATGCAAGTTATAACTGATCAGTGGTCAAGTCCACCAACAAGTCTTAACAAGTAAGTGTTGGCAGGTAAGCTTGTCTCGCATTGTTGGGAAATCCAGCATGCATCAGCAGGAATATGTGTGTGTAATGATTTGTTTGCAATACAATACTATATGGTTACATCAACAAAATTTCAATGTAAAACTCACAAATTTACAATAAATTTAAGATGAATCATTTTTTAAAATTAATATTTTTCTATTTTTTGAAATTATGCAAATTTAAAAAACCCATTACAGGGTTAAAGAAGGTAGATTTGGGGGGGGGGTGGCGCTGAGTAATTTTTTTTAAAGGGGACAGTAGGCCAAATAAGTTTGAGAACCTCTGCTGTACTAGGTCTGTATCCCAAAGAAATTTTTTTAAAAAGGGGGCAGTGGGGGGGAAAGAGAGGACCTATTGTACAAAAACATATATAACAGCTTTTTGTGGTGGCAGAGAATTTGAAATTGAGGAGATTTCCATCTACTGGGGAATAGCTAAACAAGTTGTCATATATTATTGTAGTGGAATATTATTATGCTATAAGAAATGATGAGGAGGATGCTTTCAGAAAAATCTGGAAAGACTTGCATGAACTGATGCAAAGTGAAGTGAGCAGAGCCAGGAGAACATTGTACACGTTAACAGCAATATTAAACAATGATCAACTGTAAGTGAATAAACTATTCTCAGTAATACAGTGATCCAAGACAGTTCCAAAGGACTTATGATGAAAAATGTGCTATCTACCTCCAAAGAACTGATATGAGTCTGAATGCAGATCAAAGCATACTATTTTTCACATTTTTTTGTGGGTTTTTTTTTTTGGTCTGTTTTCTTTCACAACATGACCAATATGGATATGTGTTTTGCATGATTGTACATGTACAACCTATATCAAATTGCTTACCCTCTCAGGGAGGGGAAAGACAAGGGAGGGAGGGAGAGAATTGGGAACTCAATTTTTTTTTAAAATGTTAAAAATAGTTTCTACATGCAGTTGAGGAAAAATATATTTTTAAAAGGTTAAATTAAAAAAGAGGAACCACGTAAAATTATGTAAAAATATCCACGTAAACCAGCTCCTCTTACTAGAAAAGCTACTCATGACATCTTACTATCAAGTGGAATAATGTCATTTTATGCAAAATGCAAAAGAAATATCTAGGGAAAAACAAGTAGTGACATAGAGCTTCAGGAGCTGTATTCTACCTAAAGAAGGAAAAAAAAAACATCATGCTTTTTCTGACCAAAAAAGGAAGCCCACCTTACATAAATATCAGTAACATTCAAACTCTTCCATTCCTGAGCCGCTTTCATAATAAATGGAATTAGGAGAACACTTGCAAGGAGAAATCAGAGGAGAGGCTTCTTTCCCAGGCACTTTAAAGAGAACTTGGCAGCAGAAATGCATCACTTACAATACCTAGGCAACTTTGTGGGTCAAGTGTTTGGTGAATGTACTGAAGTGAGGCAGTTGGAATGGTCACATTAGCATGCATAGTAAACTCTTTTGAAGTGGGTAAAGACGAGTTGTACTTTTCCCTTAACAAAAAGAACTTTCAGTAATTGAAATATCCGTTGCCTGGTTGAAGAAGGGAGTACTGAGTTTGCATATGGATCTCAATGAATACTAGATCTAGCCCTTAAAACATGCATTTATCACATTATATACTTTTAAGTTGTCCAATTTATACAGATTCAGATTGAAATGAAAAAAAAATTCCCAAGGATTCAACCACATATTTCAATTCATTGATTCACATTCAAATGCTTAAGTAATACTTGTTTATACAAGCTACTATAAAAATTCTTTACATACTTTATTGGAGTGAAAATTTTTTTAAATCATGCATATTTGTATCCTTCATAGAGCCTTAGATATAGTAGAGAAGCAAATATTTGTTAAATGTCATCACAACTTGCCTTCCAATTTATTGGTCAAAATTTTTATAATTTTTAATGTTCTTTACTAAAGGCAGAATGGAGAGACAGAATTATAACTACTATCTTAAATATGTTATAGATTAAAGAAATATGCCTTTAAAATGCTCTTGCCACATTTTCTGGTCTCCACAGCCACGATGCTCACATTGTCACATGCCACATCTGTGAATCCACTACAGGGAGAAAAGAGAAAATGCTTGTAAATGAAAAACATGTAACAAGAGTTTAATGTTACCAATTACCCTCTGGAATGAGTCACCTCTGTAAAGACAATTTCATCTTTCCAATGAGTTCTTGGCCCTTGAGGGCTACCTGGGACATTAGATGTGAGATTTTTGAGAACCCAAGTGGCTGCTGTGGAGCAAGAAAGCATTGCTGGGATGTTTCAGACTGAATGACAATCACAACCTTTTATACTTAGACATCCAATCTTAGGCACTAAAATCCCAAGGAGCACTCACTCACTGGATCTTTGCCAAACAAAGGCCTGCTTTCTATTGAATTTGTAAGGTTCACTGGTTCAGTAACTAAGGTAGTATTCATTCAAATGAAAAACAGCATTCCACAATGCTTCAGAGTATCAAAATAAGTGTTCCAAAGAGCTGAAATTTCAAGATTTATATGAAAACTCATGAAGTGATTCTAAGTCCTCTTAGAAGATCCTATTCCCATCCCTAGGTGATGGCCCACTTTAAGCAAAATTCAATACACAAAATTCCAAAGCCTCCAAATAACTGAAGGCAGTTCCTTGAAATTGCTTTAAAGGGCACCTGAACCGTACACAAAACTGCCCCAGGTTACGTCTCAATAAATGTGAGAATAAAGGCAGTAAACAGTAAGTCCCACATGAATTTTAATTCTCCCATAGGAATCGCCACTTTAAACAGATTTATTCATTCTCACAGCTATTAGGTCTCAGACCACCGATATTCCAAGTGTGCCTGCCCTGAGGTCTGCATGGCCTTCATCACCTTGTACAACTGAACCCCTTGTTTTTGCAAATGCTAACCTTAATATCCAAGCTGAACCCACAAGAATAGACACTTGCAGAACCACAGATTCTGCTTAGGAAATGACTATTAGTAATAAATCGACATCTCTAAGACATTTAAAGTTTTTCAAAGCTCTTTCCTATCATTTTATCTTTATTTCAATCTTGGTAGGTAGTTTAGTAAACACCATTTTTCAGATGAAGAAATGTTACCTGGACCACCTGTGAGATCCCCCTAGTAAGTGATAGCAGCTCTTCAGAACAACAGTGTTCTTTTCCCTTTTCCATGTGTACACTCGTAGAGAGATGTCCTGGGAGGAGGTGACGACACGAAAACTGTCCTTAAAATGAGAAGATATGACATGAGTTTGCCCAAAATTAAAAAAAGAAAAGGGAGAATGATGGCTGAGTACCTGAATCATCATACCACCCATATGGATGTGATTGTCTGGTGATGGTCCTGAAAGGATGCTAACAAGTTGCCAGTGATTGAAAAGATTGTCATTCCTGATCCACATCCTAGAAGAATGATGTCACTACCATGGCTTTCCAGTATATGAGGCATTCTGCTGGATTCTGGCAATATGAAACTTGCAACCTGTTGTGCTTTTATCATTAAAACAAAAAAGAAAACCAGTAAATAGCTCACATGGTAGCTAAAGCTTTTAGCATCTAGAAATTACTAGTCCTAGAACAACTAATAAATATACAGTGACCCAGTCACAAACACATTTATTGCATTTATTAAATACCAAAAGATAGCCAAGTTTTTTGGAAGAAAGGATCAAATTAGGGTGAGGTATCTAAAAATTCTAAAACCTGACTCATTTTCATTATCAGCATTTCCAATCCATTGTTTTTCTGATAATGAACCAGCAATTTTAAAAATCTGAGAAACATTGTGGGTTCTAAACTTGGAAGCCCATATTTCATTTCATTGGTGGGAAAGGTGGTAGGAATAAGCTAAGTGGGAAAGAAGACTATTTTACTTGTCCTCAATTTTTACCTAGTGCCCAGCACAGGGCACTACAAACAGTATGTGCTTAATAATTTGATAAAGCAGGTTCAATGATAAGCTCTGAGAGACATCATAGTACAGAAAGAAGGTTGGTTCTGAAATCAGAGGACCTGGATTCTAAGTCTAAATCCACCTTGATGCTTACTACCTGTGGGACCTTGGGGAAGTCCCTTTCATGTCTTACCTTCTGTTTCCTCATGTGTAATAGAATGAGGGTATTGGACCTAATGCCCTCTGGTTAGCTCTAGTTCCTATGTCAGGTGTATATAGCTCCACAATTATATGGTATGTGGGTGCCTGGGCCTTTATACTTTAATTCCTATGAGGTATCTGGAATGAGGATGGTAGCAAATTCAAGTTTTATCAAGGTAAAGTTTGTGCTGAGTACCAACTTTATCCCCTAATCTAGAAATCAAATACTAATTACATTTTATGAAAAAAAGGATTCCTTTAAAACCAAGTCAAAGAATCGTGCTACTTCTACCATGACTGAAGCATTCTGAAGAAAAGACAGTGAATATAATAAGTATAAAAGTGTCAGGGAAAACAAATAATTCTTTATACCAGTGTCAGAAAGGTCCAAGACATAAGAGCATCTGCCTATCTTAAAGGCTGGTGTGAGATATTGAAGTCATTGTGTGAGATATTTACACTGACCTGTCAAAACTGTGGAAGGGTACACTGCCCAGTGTAAGAAGTACTGTGATCCACCGAACTAGGGATCAGGAAAGATCATTTTATATAAAAGTATCACCTTATATAATAGTATCTCCCCCAGGCACTGGCCCATCCAATCCAGGATTAGCTCTCTAAAAGGGGCATCTAAGGATATATGGTAAGAAGGACTAATGGCTTTTAATGATGTCAACCATTGGGGAAATACTCTAAAGACCATCATTGTAAAAACTTCAAAAGTTCTGTGGTTTGAGGCAAATACTCCCTTGACAGAATCAGGTCCCAATTGTATAATATTTTGGCTTAGAATGTCGTGAGTATGGGGCAGCTAGGTGGCACAATAGATAAAGCTCCGGCCTTGGAGTCAGGAGGACCTGAGTTCAAATGCAGCCTCAGACACTAGACACTTATTAGCTGCGTGGCTCTGGGCAAGTCACTTAACCCCGATTGCCTCACCACACACACACAAAAAAATTAAAGCTCTTAAAAAAAAGTCGTGAGTTGCTATGGCCAAAAGAAAAAAAAAAGGTATCAACAGGGAGTTGGTTACGAATCTTCAAGTTTATCTAGATTGATTCTTGGACAACAGATGCAAAGTCAATTCTGATGCCCATATGTAAAGCTCTTCCAGTTTGGTAGGACCTGACAGAGGTTCATGCTCTATTGGTATAGCCTTTGAGAATGTGTTATCATTGCCATGCCATGATGAAACATCAGAAGAGTCTTTAATGGAGGTTCAAAACATCTTAGTTCCCATTAATTACTCATTATGGATGAGTTTCCCATGAATTTATCAAATCCTTCTTGAGTACAGCATTAGCATTTACTGACTCTTGAAATAAGATATTCTATATAAATACACAAGATATTCCATATATCACAAGATAGTCTCTCTCTCTGGATAGATAGATATACACATATATACACACACTTCAAGAAGAATCTGGATGACCACTCATTGTCTTGTGGAGATTTTTGTTGTTGCTGTTGTTGTTGAGGGTTGGACTACATGACTACTAAAGTCCCTTCCAATTTTTGGAAATTCTGTGATTACCTACAATATAGATCTGGACCTTTGATTTTTAAATCCTGTCCCCCACCACATCCACAGTCTTCAAAATGTTCTATGTCCTAATCATAAAAGGCCTAATCACCTTAATAATCATTTCCCTAGCCTACATATTTATATCTCCAAGAACCACAGAATCTCAGAAATGGAAGGTACCTCAGCTTCTATCTACCCCAACCCATATCTGAAAAAATGACCCCCACTACATCATACTCAACAAATGGTCACCCAGCCTTTGCTTGAAGAACTCCAGTGAAGGGGGGAGACTCATTAACTCTCAAGGTAGCCCACCCACTTTTGGATAGCTCTCATTGTTTTGAAATTTCCCTGACATCAAGCCTAAGAGCTTATCTGTATAACTTTTACCTATTGCATCTAGTTCTGCCCTGGCAATATACAAAATCAATTCAGAATCATAGAGCTAGGAAGGACTTGAGAGATCATTTAATTCAAATTTTCAATTTTACGCAAGGGGAAATTGAGGTTCAGAGATGAAGTGATATGTGAAGGGTCAAGCAGCTAGTTACTAGAGCATTCTATTCTAGAATCCAAGTTCCTGCTTCCTAGGGCAGGGTTCTTTTCTCTATACCATGTGTGTATGTATGTATGTATGTAAATGTATGTATGTACACATATGTACATATACACATATCTATCTATATATCCTCTATACCACATATACCATGTGTTTTTTCATTAGTGAAAGAAAAGTACAAATTTTGACTTGTTATAAGGGGCAAAACACACAGTTTGGGGAAAGAACGGAGCTTACCCAGTATTTCCACTTTATTCTTGGATCGTTTTGATGCTATATCAAAAGTGGTAACAGACAAGTTTCTGGTTGTTCTATCTTCATGCAGCACTATTAACCTGGCTGCCTCTCTGGGTGCCCAGCTGGCATTCCGACATTCCCCAACAGGCAGGGAATTAGAAAGAGGCTTATCTTCAGATGGTCTGGTCAAGGAATCTCTATGAAATACCTGCAGAGACATCACAAACACCACTGTAGGTATAACCTGAACCATTCCAGGAATATCTGTGCCTAGGGCAAATTCAGTTGAAGGTAGGGAGCTGGCCTAGAAGGACTTGGGACCCTAGTGGTGGCAGTGGCCCAGGTGTGCAGTTCGGTGCTCCAGGTTGGTGAGAAGGCAAGCAGGAAGCAGGCCCAGCAGACAATGTTTGCCTCGCAAAGAAACATGTACCACCTTAGATGTCAGCAGCCTAGGGCGAAGTCTCATACGTTCCATGCTAGTTAGGGCTCTGGGTCCAACTAGATATATTTGGTGAGCAATACATGGGATTAAATGGGTTTACTGTTGAGGAATCAGTAGCTTTTCCAAAGTTAGTTCTATCCTTGTTCTGCTGCCTATGGACATCATCATGTACCAGATTTCAGATTCTGGTCAACAGTAATAGTCACACTGAGTTTACTCTGATGGCAATAGTTAAGTTAGTAGTCCAATGAAAACAGCCAAGCTACAATCATAGAACTTCAGAGCTGTCAGGGACCTCAGAGGTTATCCCACCCAGCAAATTCCTTTTATAGAGGATGGAACTAAGACAGGAGGACCAGGCAGGCTTCTTCTTCCTCACTTCCAGGTCTTTCCCCTACCACCTTCACTCAGGAACCTCTCCTCCTTTAAGATTCACTCTACACAAGTACAGCAGATTCCGGTGACTGGTGTCTACCCAGTCATTCTTCCTCCTTTCTCAGGTTTACCTATCTCACAATCTTCTTCTCTACTTCAAATCCTACCCTTCCACTTGATGGCCCCTCAAATACCCTTGCTTCCCAGACTATCCATTTCCTTAACAACTCCTATGATCTGCATCTTCACACCAACTTAGCGACACACAGATATGATTAGACCCTTGATTCCCATCTTCACCCACAAATGTTCCACTGTCATAATCCAGAACTCCTGTACCTGACCATCACCTCCTATCCTTCTTCCAGTTCACCCTGTACCTCACCCTTTCTAAGTCCAGCCAGTGTGTTCCCTTTGACCCAGCTATGCCACTGCCAGGTCTGTACCCAAAAGAGATCAAAGAAAGAAGAAAAGATCTTACACACACAAAAATATTTATAACCGCTCTTTTAATGGCAGTAAAAAACTACAAACTAAGAGAATGGCCATCAATTGAGGAATGGCTAAATAAACTGTGGCATATGAATCAGATGAAATATTATTGTGCTATAAGAAATGAGGAAATAGATGCTTTCAAAAGGACATAGAGAGACTAATATGAATCTATACAAAATGAAGTGAAAAGAAGCAGGTCAATTCATACTATGCATCAATATTATAAAAATGAACAATTTTGAGGACTTTTATAAACTAATGATGAATGAAATAAGCAGAACCAAGAAAACAATTTATGCAACACCATAAAAACAAGTAACTTTGAAAGCTGTAAGAACTATGATCAATAAAATGACCATTCATAATTCCCCTACTAAACTGTAAACTCTCTGAGTGCAAAAACTATCGCATGCTTGATATTTGAGTCGCCAGCAAAGTAGACCTTGGCACTTAGTAAGTGCTTAATAAATGCTTTTCCATTCATTCATTAATTTCAAGCCACTGAAACCATCCCTGTCACCTATCTTTCAGCAAAGGACCCTGCCTCATACTTAACTGAAAAAATTGAGGCCATCTGAGATAAGTTCTCCCTCCTATCCAATTCAATACATCAAGTCACCTCAGCATCACAGGCTTCCCCCCCCCCCGCCCCCACCACCACCACTCCCAGCACTCAATTCTTTCCTCCTTTACTCCACTGTCAGGGGAATAATGTTGCCTTTCTCCTTGCTAATCCCAGATCTTCTGCGTGTGCCCTTGATCCTATTTCCGTCTGTCTCCTCCAAAAGCTTGTCCTTTTGATCATTTCCTCTCTTCCTCATTTTCAACCACTCATTCCTTCTCTGCTGCCTACAAATATACCCAAGTTCCTTCATCTTTAGGAAAAAAAATAATAATTCACTTGGCCTTATCATCTCCTTAAGTTATCTTGTATACCTCGTTTTCCTTTCATAACCAAACTCCTAGAAAATATTATGTAGACAAGTTGTGTCTGCTTTCCTGCATCCCACTCCCTTCTGAACTCCATCATTTTACTGAAACTGCTCTTTCCCACCCCACAAGGTCACCAATGGTCTTTTTGTTGCCACATCCAATGATCTTTTCTCATCTTTCACCCATATTCAAGCAGTTTCCAAGTTTTGTAGGTTTAACCTTCTCTATGTCTCTCAGACCCTCCTCTTCTCTATTCACAACACAGCCATCCTCATCCAGGCCTTGATTGCTCTCAACTATTGAAATGACCTCATAATTGGTCTCACTTTATCTAATCTTGCCCCTCTACAGCCTATCCTCCACACTGCTGACTAACTGATATTCCTCAGGCATAAGTCTTCCTGGGTCACTCTTCTGCTCAAAAAGCTGCAGTGGCTCCCCATTGCCTCTGGGATAAATACATACTTCTGTTTAGAAAACCAGTGTGCTCCAACCTACCTTTCTATGCTGATTAAACAGTACTCCCCATCACATGTTCTACACTCCAGCCAAGTTGGCTATTATTTACTTGCTATTCCCTATACATGCTATTCTATCCCCTACCTTGGCGGAAGGCATGGTTTATGTGGGAGTGATGAAGCTGGCAGGTACAATGGGGTCAGAATATGGGTAGCATTGAATGACAGGCTAAGGATTTTTTATTTTATCCTGTAGGCAGTAAGAAGTCTCTGAAGGGTTTTGATCACTGAACAAGTCATGTGATCATATTGCTTTAGGAAGACAAATCTGGCAGCTCAGGCAGAATTACCAGGAGAGGAAGATAGACAACAGGAAGGCCACAACTGAGGCATTAAGTGATCGCAGTCTTAACTTGGGTGATGTTTGGAGAAAGGAAAAAATGATGGCGTGGATTAGAGTGAGATTTTGAAGGAAAGCTTCTATTTCTCCACTACTTCCTCCCTCCCTTGTGCCTTGCCTAACTCCCCAAAGCCTAGGCTCTGCTCCTCCTGCAGAAACCACCCTCTCACTAAGGCAAATGTTCCCATCTTAACTCACTACAGGAATAGGGACTGGACCAGTGATTTCATTGAAATAAGGAACTCCCAGATGTGGAAACTCCCTCTATCAATGCATGCTGGCAATTTTGCTGAAACCTAGAGACTTATAGAGATGCCTAGAAAACTGACAGGTAGAGCATCTTGCCCTAATTTATACTGTCCAGTACTTGTCAGAGACAGAACTTGAAACAGGTATTCCTGGCTTCCTGATCTTCCTCTCAGTAACTCTCTAGTAACTCACCATAAAGAACCTATGTGCCCTTGGGAAAAGAGAGCTTGGAGGTCAGCAGGTCCTGAGTAACAATTTCTAGGTCAGAACTGATCTGTCCTTCCATCAGACTTCTCTGTTGCACTTACATTCTAATGAGTATTGAGTTATTTTGTGCCTTTGTTTTCTTTCTCCTATTGGAGTGGAAGGTCTTAGCTCCTGTAATAGAACACAGGACCTTGTACAGAGTAGGCACTAATAACAGTGTGCTGGACTGAACTGAACCAAATGCTGGAACCTATTCCTTCAGCATGTCATCAATATTTCAAAGTACACAACCTAGCAAGATGTTCCTCAGATAAGGCTCTACCTCTGCCAAAACATCTGGAGTCTCTGTAGAGCCAACTAACAGCCAGTTCTTGTCAGGTGAGCAGAGTAGCAAATCTATATGACAATTTTGAAATGCAGTAACTCGGGAGACCTCCTTCAAGCAGGGAACTGTTAAGGTATAAAGCACACCTTCTGTAATGGCCACCTAAAAAAAAAAAAGAAAAATTAGAGATATTTCCTACAGAAAACAGGAATAAACAGAACTCACAAGGCAGAGAAGTAGGAGCCTAATTTGGTGCTCAAAATATGTTTATAGTATCTGAGCTCACACACTATAAGTTGTCAGTTTATGTCTGTTTTGCCAGCTTTGTCCTAAAAAATAATGGATAGCTGGTTAAGAAAATGGTTCCCAAGGATGGGATTTGGATTTGTGGACCACAGTTTAAAATATAGGAATGACAGGCTACCAGAGAGGGATGTGGAGCAAATAACCATTCATAATAGGAAAACACTAGAAGCTTTCCCAGTTAATATAAAGGAAAGCAAGGGGGCCCCCTTTCCCCACTAATTTGACATAGTCTAGAAAGGCTAACAACAGCAATAAATCAAGTGAAAGAAATTAAAAGCATAAAAATAGGCACAGAAGAAAAAAAAACTATTTGCTGATGATATGATGGTTACTTAGAAAATCTTAGGGGATCAGTAATGAAAGTTATATAATTTAATAGAATCAACAAAGTAGCAGGTTACAAAATAAACTCATAAAAAACTAACAGCATTTCTACATAGCAATAAGAAGAGCCAAGTGCAAAGACTAGAAAGTAAGACTGATTTAAAATAACAACAAAATGCATAAAAATCTGGAAGTGAATCCATCAAAATCCATTCAGTTCCTGTGTAATAATTGTTAAATGCTCCTTTAATGAAATAAAGAAATAAAGAAATAAATTCATATAACTGAAGGGATAGTCAGTGTTCTTGTCCAGGCTATGCCAATATAAAAGAATGACAATACTACCAATATTAATTTACAGATTTTAATGCTATGCCTAGCAAGCTACCAAAGGAGTACTTTTCAGGGCTAGACAACATAATAATAAAATTCATTTGGAGGAATAAAAGATGTGAAATATCAAGGGAAATAATGAAAAAAGTAGAAATGAAGAGATAAGAGCACTTTCAGGTGCCAAATTATATTATAATCATCAAAAATACTCAGCATTGGTTAAAAATAGAAAAGTAGATCAATGGAACCAATTAGATAAGGAACAACCAGAAATCAATTGAATTCAATGATCCAGAGTTATAAACCTAAAATATATATTAATTAGGGAAGAACTCCATATTTGACAAGAATTGCTGGGGAAACTAGTCAAAAATAGACTGTTAAAAATTAGGGTTAGACCAACATCTTCTGCCATCTACCACAATAAACAAAATGAATGTGCAACCTAAATGTTAAAGACCACATCATTAAAAAATTAGAAGAGAACTAGATCACATCTTTTCACATCTATGGCTGGGGGCTCATTCTTAACTAAAGGATACAGGCAACTACAAAGGATAAAGTGATTATTTTGATTACATGAAACTGAAAACCTTTTGATTAATAAAATTAATGCAAACAGAATAAGAAGACAACTGGAGGGGGGAAAATCTTGCCTTCAAATATCTCTGATAAAAGTTCGATAACCAAGTTATATAGATACTAACACAAATATATAAAGCAAAAAGTCATTTTCCAATAGATAAATGGTCAAAGGGGATTAAAAAATAGTTCTTAAAAGAAGAATTGTGAACTATTAACAACCATATGAAAGGACATTATATAATAAGAAAATAAGAGAAATAATAACAGTAGCTAACATTTATATACCACTTTTTACGTGACAGGCACCATGCTAAGCCCTTTATAATTATTACTTCATTTGATCCTAAAAACACTGGGAGGTAGGTGCTATTATTATCCCCATTACACAAATGAATAAACTGAGGCAAACAGAAGGTTAAGTCACTTGCCCATAGACACATAGCTAGTAAGTGTCTCAGACCAAATTTGAACTCAGGTCTTCCCGACTCCAGGCTCAGCGCTCTATATTCACTGAGCCTAGTTTAACCTCATACCAAAACAGGCAAAGATGACAAAAGATAAGAATAGTAAAATCTTAGAGGGATTATAAAGAGACTGCCACACTAATACATTGTTAGTGTAACTCTGAATTGGTCCAACTATCCTGGAAAGCAACTTGGAACTATGTGAAGAAAGTGATGAAAGTGTTCATGGCCTCTGACTGAAAGCTCCCACTGTTAGGTATGTACTCCGGGGGGGGTCACTGACAAAAAGAAAAACCCCATATACAACAAAGTATTTATAGCAGTATATTTTGTAGTAGCAAAGAATCAAAAACAAATTCCCATTGACTTGGTAATGACAGAACAAATTACAGTATTTAATCATAATGAAATATTAATATGTTAGAAATGATGAATATTTTGGATGCAGAGAAGCAAGAAAAGGATTCCATTGAACTGATGCAAGATGAAATAAGCAGAACCATAAAACAGGGAAAATAGAGATGATGTAAAAATGAAACATATCAATAAAAATATTTAAAAAATAAAAAGTAGGAAAAAGAATACAGTGACTACAAAAAAATTTAAACCTTGTACATTGTTTGAGGGACACTGAGAAGATAAAGAAAGTATCAATGGGACAAAGCATCCAAAGAGCAAAAGATACCAGGAAAAACAAGGAAAAGAATAAAGGAAGAAATAAATTAATGTTTCACAGAAAATATTATTCCCTTATTAGCAATTCAATATTGTAGTGTATTGTAGTGTAATAGGATAATATAGGAGAACTTTGCTTAAGTGGAAGTATTTAAATATATACACACATACAGGATGAAAATGAGGGGATAGAACAAAATTTATTATTCAGGCAGCTCTAGCGGGAAAGAAGTTGAAATCATGATTTCAGATAAGGGAGCAACAAAAATTAATATTATCAAGAGAAATGCAGAAATAATGTTATGCTTAAAGGTAACATGGACAGTGAAAAACACCATATTCAAACCAAATGCCATAGTATCTAGGTGTTTAAAGGAAAAGTTGGATGAAGTACAAAAATACAAGAGGAAACTCATATTCTTCTTTCATAAAGAGATAAATCCAAAAGAAAGAAAAACAAGCAGGAAAATCTAAAACTGGACAGATTATTGGAAAAATAAGATTTGACTGACCTGTGGCAACTTCTGAGTAGGAATATTAAAGAAAATGCATCTATCTCAGCATTTTATTAAAAAATGGTCACGTACAAGGGTATTAAGGAATTATGAATAAATACAGATTAGAACAATAATAATGAACAAAGGAAATATGAGCAAAAGAGATCTAAGTGGAGATTTGGTAATGACATTCTAAGTAATGAACGGGTCCCTATAAGTTATAGAAACAATAATTACGTTAATGATAACAATGAGAAAACACACATTATAGCTGTTAAAGCTATAAATTGAAAACATACATTATACAATTAAAGTCATTCTTAGAGGGAAATTTATGTCTGAAAATTTATATTGAAAAATAGAAAAAAGTTATACAAAGAATTGCAAACTATTAATAACCATATAAAAGACTACTACACATCAGAAATAGTAACAGAAATACAAACTAAAATAACTCTGTGGTTTCCCTTCACACCCATAAAATGGACAAAAATGACAATAGATCAAAAACTCAGAGTTGGAAGGACTATGGGAAGACAGACTGTGGGCATGTCTATATACTGTGGTAGAACTGGGAGCTGAAATAACCATTCTGGTGACCAAAATATTTACTCTTTCACTCAAATATCATCTAGTTGAGCATCGTCCCCAAGTAGTTCAAAGGCAGAAAGGTGCCATATATGCCAAAAAAAATTCATATTAACACTTTTTTTTTTTTGTGGTAGCAAAGAGGTGGAGGGGGCATCAGATGGGCAATGGCTAAACAAAACTATGGGATATATGAATAAAGGAATATTGCACATACATAGATGTATGTACGTATGTATGTATTTATGAGGCTTCTGAGTCATTGACGAACCTTTGGTCTCTATTCATTTCTTAACGATGACCTGTACTTTCCAGCAGTTTTTTCATTGTCCTTCCCTGTGCCCATCTTTGCTTTGAAGCTTTTGTGTATCAGGGTATATTTGTTAAGGGATGATTCTTAACGTCCTTGGCTCCCTTTTCTGTCAGGCTGCCACCCTCCCTGCAAAGATAGAAAGGGGTTCTCTGGGACTGAAGATCAGTTTTTATGTTTCTCTGTTTAATGAGTTATCAGAGCCAAATAATCATTTAAAGAGTAGATAATCTGCCCGTGATGAGTCCATCTTTGCTTAGCTAGACTAATCCTTGGACAGTAGGCACATTCTGTTGCCAGGATCACATCAAAGCCTTGGAAGCCTGGCAGAATTTATCAAAGCTTGGTTCCTCCAGGTACATCCTTTGAGAAAGCAGGGTCACCTCCATGCTACAACGAGGCAGTGAAGGAAGACTCTTATAGGAGAAAGATTTAATTAAAAGAACAATAACAGAATGATTATTTTGTGCTTATGGATCTTTTGGTCATTGAAAAAATAATTATAAAAGGAATAAAAGATCTATAATCATACAACTATATATAGTTGCTTTATTCAGAGGCAGTTAGGTGGCACAGTGGATAGAGAGCTGGGCCAGGACTCAGGAAGATTTGAATTTAAATCTGACCATAGACACTGGCTGTGTGATCCTAGGCAAGTCACTTAACTTCTATTTGCTTCCGTTTTCTCAGCTGTAAAATGGAGATAATAAAAGTAGTTACCTTACAGGGCTGTTGTGAGGATTAAATGAGATGATATTTGTAGGCTGCGCATGTTTGTAAAGTGCTTAGCACAGTGCCTAGTACATAATAGGCACTACAGAAATGCTTATTCTTTTCTTTTAGTTGTAGTGCAAACAAACAAACCTGAAAATAACCCATACGTTCAAGATTAGATAATGGCTTAATAAACTGTGGTGTGTTAGAGCAATAGAGTACTTACTTATGTCTTGGATAGAATGAGGAGGAGGGGGTGTACTGTGAACTTAAATGGGAAAAAATACATCTTTATTTCCGTAGATTTTGATTTTTTTTATAATCCTGCGAGTTTTATTTTATGTATTTAAGTACATTATTCTGAGAAGGGGTCCAAAGGAGTCACCAGACTACCGATGGGGGTCCATGGCACAAAAAAGGTCAAGAATCCCTGCTCTGGTTCAACTCCATCATTTTACAGATAAGGAAACAGGTACATACAGAGAAAATAACTTGCTCAAAGTTAAACATCGGCCAAGCCTACTTACTGTCAAGAAAGGGTTCTCTGGCACCCCACAGAGCACCAGATTACACCAGGTAGAGTGTGTGATGAAGGTGGCCTGCTCCTTCCCAGTTTGTCCATCCCATACTTTGATGGTCCCTTGCTCATCCCTGGTGATGACCAGCTGATGCTCAGGGACAGTCAGGAGGCTCCTCAGTGGAGCTGGCTGAACAGAGCTGGACCAGATCTGAGTGCCCTGGGAAAACAAATGCTCATCATTTACCATTTGTAAGAACTGCCACAACAGTATCTAGGAACGTGTTATACTGTGGCTCTGCTACTTCACAACCTCCAGGATTTCCCATGGCCTAACTTATTCTGGCATTCAAGGCCCCAACCTACTCTCCAGCTTTGCCTGCACCATTCTGTGCCTCATTTCCCACACAAATTCTATTCCCACTCCCACCTACTCCATCATAGAATCAGATTTACAGTTGGAAGGCTTCTTACACAGCCATCTAGTTCAATGAACCGTCTTAAAGAGAAGGAAACTGAAGCCCAAGAAGGAAAAATTACTTACCCAAAGCAACATGGGTAGTAAGTGTAAGAGGTCAATTTTGAATGCAGGTCCTTTGACTCCAGAACCAAGTGCTCTTTCCACATCTTTCTGTGCCTAACTTAGGCCGTCCCCTTCTCTTGAAATAGACTCCCTTCTCATAGCTGTCTGTCGAACTGCAACCTTTAAAGCCCAATGCAGAGGCTGCCTCTTCCATGAAACCTTCCCTAGAAATCTGTTCTTCCCATTTTTACCCCCTCTTGAAAGTGATTAGTGATTTCCTCCTCCTTAAATTTATCACAGCTCTTTGCTTAGACCTCTCCTTTACACTTAACTCATTTGCCCTTATATCAATCAAGCAATCAATCAACATATATTAAGTGCCAGGCATTGTGCTAAGTGCTGGGCATACAAAAAGAGGCAAAAAACAGTCCCTCAAGGATCTCACAATCTAAAGTGGCAGCGGGGGGGGGGGGGGAAGACAACATGCAAACAAATATACATAAAGCAAGCTATACACAGGATAATTAGGAAATAATAGAGAGAAGGCACTAGAATTAAGAGAGGTTGGGGAAGGCTTCCTGGAGCAGGTGGGATTTTAGTTGGGACTTAAAGGAAGCCAAGGAGGTCAGCAGTCCAGGCGTGAAGGACAGTCACTTATCTGTGTACTTTTCCTCCCCCATTAGTTTGTATATTCCTTAAAAGCAGAGTCCATGTTAGATTTAATTTCATAACCCTTGTATGCGACAGTGCCTTGTCCATAGTAGGTGCTTACTTAGCAGGTGCTCACTGAATTGAAAAAATCTAGAATGCGTTATGGCTTAATACAAATTCTCTTTCATTCAAACACCTTTTCTGTTCTTATTCTCAAATTCTGGAACCACTTGGAAGAAACTTAAAAGCTATCTAGTTTAACTTCACTGCTTTACAGTGGAAAAAACAAAACAAAACAAAACATAAGTTCCTAAAGAGGTCCTGAAGACCCAACCAAAAGTAGGGGAGTGACATACCCAAGATCACCCAGAAGATTAGTGTCAAAGCTGGTACTATTCCCTGAATTTTTTCTTATTTGTGTCACCATGATGACTCAGCCAACCTCATAGTGTGCTAGAAATCTTGACTTGGAGCCAAATGAGCCTTTCCAGAGATTACATCATGGAATGAAACCAACAGAAGTATTCTCAGGGTCACATGCCTTCCGTGCCCTTCACTTTCTTCCATACTTACTGACCTTGAGGACTAAGAGAGAGCAGAAAAGACCCTGGTCCTGAGACCTTGGTTGGGAGGCCTGGCTCTGACATTAACCAGCAGTATGACCATGCCAAGTCCTTTCCCTTCCTGGGCCTTAGCTTCTTCATCAGTAAAATGAGTGTCAGATCAGATGATCTCTGAGGTCCTTTCTAGCTCTTACTTTCTGTGATTCTATGATTTTAAGACAAGGAAATGGGTCTGTGGCTTGGACAGTGTGGGAATTAACATGGCTTTCTTTAGCTCTTAATGGATATCATCCCTTGATCTGGGGCCATTTTGAGGTCCCTTCAGCCTTCTGTTTTTACCTCTCATGTCAAGCTGACTTGTCTATTTCATGAATTAAATGAGATGGGTCCTCATCTACCCTAGCTAAGGATGCACCCCATCAAAGAGATCCTGGCGTCACTACAAGAGCAGGCAGACTTACAAAACAACTAGAAGGTGGGTGGGGAGGGGAAGGTCATGATTCATGATACAATGGTCTTTGCTTTATCACCAGAGTCACCGCAGCGTTGCATTAAAAATATGAGCTTGCCAAGTACATTTAACGCTACAAGGATCAGAAGCATCAGATGATGTAGAACATTTGCTTGGTCCTTCCTAGACTTCGTGGGCTCATAGGTTTAGAGTTGGAAGAGATCTTAGAGGCTACTAGGTTAATCTCCAAATTCTGTATGTAATGTGGGTTATCCAGAGAATGCACAGATATTCTCTGCCTGATTCTGGCTGAATACGTGTTTGACTGAAGCAATTGGGTGCATCAGAGATGACATACTCTCCAGCAGCTTCCAGATTTGTGGTGGGAGCCAGTGCTGAAAGGACTGATTAACAGGCAATTAACAACAATTAACGAAAATTAACAATTCTACACATGCCTCAAAGTGCTGAAAGGGGGTTTTGGTATGATGTGGCAAACCCTGGGTGGTACCCCTTGTCCTTCTCCTTCCTCTCTCTTCCTGACCTCTCCCCCATTTTCCAACCCCACCCCTTGATAGCGGCCATGAGGTGGGGTGCCCAGCCCTCTATCCACTGTATCACTTAGCTACCTCTATACAACACCGCATCATCTCCCTTTGAATCTTGGCTGTCTCCCTGCCTGGAGTGCTCTCTCCTTACCTCTACATCTCACAATCCCTAGTTCACTTCAAGGCTCAGTCCAAGTGCCAAGGCCTCTCCTGATTCCCCAAACCAGTGCCCTTTTCATCCCTCCCCCAAATTATTTTATACATTTTTAATGTATTTAATTGTTTCTGTGTGGTTTCTCTCCCCTGCCTCCTCTCCACAATAGACTAGGAGCATCCTGAAGGTAGGAATTATTTGGTTTTTATCTATGTATCCCCTGAACCTAGCCTGGTGCCTGGCACAAAGTCAGCACTGAAAGAATGCTTGTTTGAGTAAAGATCTATGAGCTATGCCAGGGGTAATTATTTGCATTACAAAGGGATTATCTGGTTTACAAAGCATGTCACCACAACATTCCATTAAAAAGTTGTGCTCCCTAGTGTATTTAACTTAGTATTAAATTAACAACAATTCTACACATGCCTCAAGGATATATCAGGAATATACCAACTTGGTAATAATTTTACACTAATGAGGTACCCTTGCATTAGTGGGCAAAGTCTTTATGAAGGGATCATGGTGTTGTTCAGTCATTTCAGTTGTGACAGACTCTTCGTCACCCTATTTGAGATTATCTTGGCAAAGATACTGGAGTGGTTTACCATTTCCTTTTCCAGCTCATTTTACAGATGAGGAAACTGAGGCAAACAGGGTTCAGTGACTTGCCCAAAGTCACACAACTAGTAAGTGTCTGAGACCGGATTTGAACTCAAGAAGATGAGTCTTCCCAACTCCAGGCCTGGTGCTCTGTGCACTATGGCCCCACCTAGGTGCCCCTATGAAGGGATTATAGGATGATAAAGCTAGAACTGGGAGGGACCCAGGTCATTTGTCCAATCTTCTCATTTTACAAATTAGGAAACTGAGACCTAGAGAGCTTATCAAGATGCCACTTTATTAGACACTTGAAAGTAATTCTTATTAATTAATGTTAGAACCAACTTGGAAAAAATGATAGAGCACTGATCGTGGAATCAAGAATACAGGTTGAAATGTTGGCCTCTGACATTCTCTAACTCTGGAACCCTGAAAAAGTCACTTAACATCTGTGTTTCTCTCAGGCAACTCCACAGAACTTATTTAGCTAGTCACACAGAAGTTCTGATCCATATTAATGGCAGCAGTTCCCATACCAGGAGTTTCTTCAGTGACAAACTCACAGATTCTTTGTATATTTTTCATTCATATAAGAAGAGGCAATCTGAAAATGAGCTATACCATGATCACTGCTGAGGAAGCATTATCCACCTACTGAGAATCACCACTGATCTGTTTCTTTGCAGGACTGTTTCTAAAAATGCATCATGATCACAATGATATTTAAGATACTGAGCGGAATCCACTGCAACTCCAGGAATCTGTCAACACAGCCTTTGCATCATTTAGGTTTGTAGCTAGGAACATCGCACCTCCAGCTTCCTGCCGGACTCACCTCTTGAACATTCCAGGCACGGACAGTACAGTCTGCTGACACAGTGCACACCACTGACTTCTCCTGCCCGTCAAATCTGTGTTCGATGGCTGAGAGGTAAGCCATTCCATCTATCTTTCCTGAAATGAAAAGCAAATGGACCTCTTTTGACCACAGCATGCAAATAATTGGGTTTTTCTCCTAATAATGATTAAAAAGCACCTAAGAAACTCTTTGCCTACCCTACTCTCTTCAAAAAATTAATTAGGTTGTAGAATGATTGGGAAAGTGGGCTTGAGGTTCCTCAGAAAGCATGACTTGCTTAGGGTAAATGTAATGAATCCTAGCATTTTCCTGTGAATCTGTTTGTAGCCATCATTATCATGGCTTTCTTCTAATCCACAGTTCTATAGTCACCATAATAAAAAGAATGGGAAGGAGAGGTGGGGGCCAGAATATTTCTTTGGGTCTTGGGCTAGTGAGTCAAGAAGATGGGTGAGTCACATCAGCTTGCTAAGACTCAGTATTCTCTTCTGCAAAACTGGAAATAATATACTCCTATCTTCACAGGGTTTCTGTAAGCCTTACATAGAATAATGTATGTAAGTCACTTTACAAACTTTCAAGGTATGTATGTGTGTATGTGTGTGTGTGTGTGTGTGTGTGTGTGTATGTGTGTGTTGCTGTGGTTCCTCTTAGTATTTATTACCCTCGTGCCCTGAAATAGCTTTGCAAGTGAAATCTTGTGAGGGCCTCCCACGGGCCATTTGGTGTTCTAGCTGAGAACGATGGAGGTAGTACTGTTTCCATGTCTGTGCTCCTTTACTTGCTTGAGAAATGTTGCAGAAAGTCCATCGGCTCAGGCTTAGCCTCCTGAAAGAGAGTGATAAGGGTCCCAAATGATTTCTCATGCCTCTCAGAAGTGAGTTGGGGCTGAGGCGAGGGGTGGCTGGGGCAGTCAGTCAATAAGCATTTATTAAGTGTCTATTATATACCGGGTTCCATGTTAATCACTAGGGATACAAAGAGAGGCAAAAGACAGTCCCTGCCCTCTAGGAACTCACAGTCTAAGGGAGACATGCAAACAACTATGAAATATAAGCCATAGACAGGATAAATTGGAGGTAATCAACAGAGAGAAGGAATATCGTTAAAAGGTACCAGAAAAAGCTTCTTGTGGAAGGTGAGATTTTAGGGGGACTTGAAGGAAGCTAGGGAGGTCAGGAGGCAGAGATGAAGAGTGAGAATATTATTCCTCAGGGACCCAGTGAACACACCTGAAGTCTAAAGATGGAATATGTGAGCAACAGCCAGGAGGTCAGTGGCCCCGGATCCCAGAAGTCATGGTGGGGAGGAAGGTGTAAGAAGATTGGAAAGAGAACTCAGCTCTTCTCAGCAACACAATGACCCAAGACAAGAACAAAGGACTCACAATGGAAAATGCCATCCACATCCAGGTAAAGAACTGATAACTCTGAATGTAGAACAAAGCATACTTTCTTTCTCTTACTTCATTTTTTTTTGTGTGTTTTCTTTTCTCTCTTAATCTGTTTCTTCTTTCACAAATGTGACTAATATGGAAATATGCTTTATATAATTGCACATACATAACCTGTATCAAATTGCCTACCATTTGAGGAAGAGGGGAGAGGAGGAAATGAGGGAGGGAGGAAAAAATTGGAGCTCAAAATCTTGTAAAAATGAATGCTAAAAATTGTCTTGATATATAATTGGGGAAAAAATAAAATACTATTAAAAAAAGAAAAAGAAGAAAAAGGTAGGAGGGGGACAAGTTGTGAAGGGATTTGAATAACAAACAGATGATTTTATATCTAATCCGGGAAGGGCTAGGGAACCACGGATATTTATAGAGTAAGGGGAGTGATCTGGTCAGATATGCTCTTGAGGAAGTTTAATTTGACAGCTGGGCTGGAGTGGGAAGAGTGATCCTACAGTGATGCTGTTCTTAACTGTAAAGTAGGAGAAACTTTGTGACTTGGAGGTTCCATTATAACATCTAAAACATGTTTTCATTATCAGGAAAACTACCACAAAAATAATATTCAAGTGCAAAACTTTGGGCTTAGTTAGGTGAACCCACTGGAGGGGAAAAGATGAAATCCATTCATTGTTAAATTGAACAATTACTTAGTAAGCACCTACTGTGTGCAACATGCTGGGGATACAAACAAGAACAAAAGGGGAAAAAACCCTAAATGGTGCATGCCTTTAAAGCATCTTCCATTCCAGAGGGGGAAAACAAGAGAAAGGCCATGGAAATACATACACAAAATAAATATGAAGTAATTTGGGGAAGAGGGGATAGGAGAAGCCAAGCAATTATGGTTTTTGTGAGGGATCATGAAATGATGTGAGTCCCAGGAATCACAGAACATCATGGGAAACAGTGCCTGAGAGCTAGAAGGTAGCTTCCAGGTCATTATGTCTAATGCTTTAAAAAAAAAAAAGTCCAAAGAGGACTTACTAGAGTGACTTCCTTGAACTGCACTTTCTTCACCTGGAAAATATGGATTACAATATTTTCACTACCTATGTTGTAGGCTTGTTTTCAGGAAAATGCATAGTTGAGGTCAAAAGAACATTCATTCACTTGGTTATGGCACCAATTATATTAAATATTAAACTCAAGATTTCTTCAATTGACTTATTGCAAATGTATTTTTCAAATTTGCGTGTTCTTTTTAAATGATGCTTTACTGTCTACTATATTAACTTACATAATTTTGAGCCATTGTCTTCATATTTTAACACTGAAGAATTTATGGCCAAAACATGATAATAAACAGGCATTTGTGACCATTTTGGTCTTGGTCCATGGCCACAAGAAGTTAACTCAAATTCTCACTAAATGATTAGTGAGAACCATTTTCTAAAGACGAGTAATTCATCCAAAGGCACCTGGGACTCAATGCCAAGGCTAATTAAAATCCACCAGGTGTGACTACAGAATAATGCAGCTGATTTTAACATACATGCCAGAACTTGCTTACAAACCTAAGCAAGAGAGGCCATACACACATAGGCCTACCACAATACCACACCTCAAAGCACTTTTGGACCTTCTTTGTGGAATCTTCTCTGTCCCTAGTTATTAATTTTCCCCTTAATCATAGATCTGACAGGCAACCCATTCCATTCCCCATTTTTTCCATGACACGCTCTTTTTATATTTAGGATAGGTGCTTCCATTTGGAGTTTATTATGGAATAGCAAATAATCAACACGCATTTATTTAGTGCCTATCATTTGCCAGACATTGTGCTAGGTGCTGAGGATACAAAAACAAAAAGAAAATAGGTCATGTCCTTCTCATGGAGCCTGTAGTCTAGTTGGGAGAGAAAAAACATGTAACATATCTAAATTTATAGAAGATAATTTGAAGAGGGGAGGGTAAGTACCAACAGCTAAGTGGTGTAGGAAAGGCTTTGTAATGCCTAAATTGGGAGGAGCAATGAGGAAGGAGTCCATTCCAGAAATGGCAGACAGCACAAAGATGGTGGTTGGAATGTCATGTACACAGAACAGTACGAAGGGCAGTTTGTCTTGACCACAGGGTAGGTGAAGGTGGAAATGTGTAGCAATTCTGGAAAAGGAGGCTGGAACCATATTGTGAAAGGTTTTACTGTATTTGATCCTGGAGGCAATGGGGAGCCAAGGAAGTTTACTGAGCAGGAGAGTAACACAGTCAGAACACTGCTGTAAGGAAATCACTTTGGCTGTTGGGTGGAGAATGGATTGAAGTGGGGGGACTGGAATTCAAGGAGCCCAATTAGGAGGCTACTTTAATTGTCCAGGCAAGAGGGGATAAGTATCTGAACCAGGGTGGGGGATATTCAATGGAGAGAAGAGGATGAATGCAAGAGATGTAAAGTATGTGCTCTTAAAGTGGTCTGGGGGCCCCTGGGGGTCCCTTCCAGTTCTAGGTCTCTGGTCCTATAATCATGTGCAAAGCCAGATGTTAATCCTTTTTTGCCTATGCTTATTCCCTTCATTTTTTTCTTACTTTAATGCTATAATTAGCACCATAATTACATACTAGTGCTAACAGCTGGAAGAGCTTTTAATGTTTCTCTGTTACAAGTAATGCTTGCTCTTGATTTTAGATACTTTTGATCATAGAAAGGAAAGGTCTTCTTATGCTTTTTTTAGTGTTATCAAAAATGATTATGAGAAAAAGTGAAATTCTCTGAGAGTTGTATTATATATAGAGTTGTTAATGTATTGCACTTTTGAGAAACAAAGAGATTGAAGAGAAAATGAAATTCTGCAAGAATTACAGTAAAAGAAGTAAAACAAGTGAATGTTAATGTCTGCTATATTTTGCAAAGGGTTTGTTATAATCCCATGTTTTTATTGCTTTGTTAGTAATATGATTATATTTAATTTTTTCCTAATGTAAAACAGTTCTTGAATCCCTTGTATGAATCTGGCCATATTGGCTAATCCTTTAAATACATCGCTGAAGCCACTTAACTATAATATTATTTAATATATGTGCATCAATATTTTCATATCCCTTAGTGACACTGGGCTAGAGTTTTCCTTTCTGCTCTCTCTGATGTCCTTAAGTTGGGCACCAGGACCACTGTTTTGGTTTCCTTGCCCTGTTTTCCAGGTCAGTTGTTTTCAATAGTAGATATCTCTCAGCTTCTTTCAATTTTGCTGTATTTTTACTTGGCTCTGATATTTTTTGCTGAATCACTTAATTCTAAAATCCTTTCTTTGATTTTTAAGAGTATCCACTGCTATTTCCCAAATTCTGTTCTAACCTTTTTATCTCTTAGTCTATTGGGACTTTCATCTACTCTTGGGGTTCTTCTGGGCATTCCATTCTCTTTTCTGGGGTTCTAGTTCTAACTATTGCTTAATTATTTTCTTCTCTAGGATTGAATCCTGGGAATCTCTGATCTCAGTCGTCATTATTTTAGGACATTTTCTTTTTGATTCTTTCCTCAGACTCTCTGATATATAACTATATCGATAAAGATAGATAGCTATCGATATCTATATTGATAACTATCTCTCCATCTATCTACCTATCTATCTATCTGTCTCCCTAACCCTCTCCCTCTCCCCCCAGGATTTAACTCCAGAGGGGGGAGAGAGGGAGGGAGGAGAGGGAGGGGGGGAGAGAAAGGGAGGGAGGGAGAGAGGGAGAGGGAGAGGGAGGGAGGGAGGGAGGGAGAGAGGGAGAGAAAGAAAGAAAGAGAGAGAGAGAGAGAGAGAGAGAGAGAGAGAGAGAGAGTTTCTTTTCCTCCCAAACCTGTTTAGGAGTGGAATTTGGGGATTCTGCTAGGTTACAATGGATTTTTCTTTTTGAGGGGGAGGGGCTGGTAAAGGCCCTTTTTGGATCTATGCTCCAGCTGCCAATGGTCCCAACATTCTCCTGCTCTTCAGTCCCTTGAGCTCCCACTACATGGAACCTTAATGTCAGGCCCAGAGAGGGGTGGGTGGGAGTGGAAAGAACAGATGAACAAAGTGCAAAATCATTGGGAGTCTGAGGGCAGTGATAAACACTCCTAGTGTTTGGTGGCTCACTTCCCCCACCTATCAAGCTCACATGTTGTGGTGGAGGCAGGGGCTAAGAGGTCATGCAAAATAGATAGTGGGGAGGTGATGATATGGTCCAGCTATTTTTAAGTTTTCTACATGAATCCCCTTGAAGGAATTCCTTTTCTTTCTATTCTTTTCATTGTACATGCTTCTTACCTTCTTGAGGTGGTAAGGGAGAGCAGAATTAAGGCACAACCTTTCACACCATTTGTAGAAAAGTCCACAAATACTTGCTATATCAAACAATCTTGCATTTGATCTTGTATGCCCCCATTTGTTTCTCAAAATTCAATTTCACAAACATTTTTAAGCACCTACTATGTCCAATATTCTCTGGCAGATTGCCCCTGCAATCACAGCATCAGAGAATTATGGAACCTGGGAGGCCATCTAGTCTAGACCTTCCTTGAGGATGAGGAAACTGAGGCACAATGAGATTAAATGACTTGTCCTCGGTCACACAAGGAGCAAGTGTCAGAGATGGCATTTAAAGCCAAATCTTCTGACAATAAAGGGAGTTTTCCTTCTACTGTGCCATACAGCTCCCTCTCTTTCTAATTTTCTGTTTTTGTCATTTGGTCATTTCAGTTATGTTGGACTCTTTGTTACTCTATTCGGGGTTTTCTTGGCAAAGATACTGGAGCAGTTTGCCATTTCCTTCTCCAGCTCATTTTACAGATGAGGAAACTGAGGCAAATAGGCTTAAATGACTTGACCAAGGTCACACAGCTAATCAGTGTGTCTGAGGCCAGATTTGAACTCAGGAAGATGAGTTTTCCTGACTCCAGGCCCAGCATTCTATCCTCTTTGCCACCTTCTATCTCTCCCTGTCTACTGGTTCTTTCCTAGCTGCCTACAAACACATTCAAGTATCCTCCCTCCTTAAAAAGTTCTCTCTAGACCCCATGACATCCTTAAACTATCTTCCTATCTTTATTCTCCCTTTCTCAACCAAACTCCCTGAAAAAGCTGCCTACCCTCATTACAATTGCCATCTATTTCATCTGTTCTCACTCACTATTCTGGCTCCCAACCTGAACCTCCTCTCTTCAAAGTTACCAGTGATTTGTCTCTTACTTGCCAAATTCAACGAATGGCTTTTTCTCTTTCCTCATCCATCTTGATCTCTCTGAAGGATATGTCATCACTAGTGAGCGCCCTTCCCTCTTGAATTTAGTCTTCTTCCTGAAACTACTCTCTTGGTTTTCTGCCTAATTGTCTGGCCCTTCCTTCTCCTTTGCTGGATCATCAGCTATGTAATGCTCCCTAACTGTGGATTTAGCCCTATCCTGGGCTCCCTTCTCTTCTCTACACTTTGTCACTTGGTGACCTCACCAGCTCACATAAGTTTAATTATCATCTTTATGCTGATGACTCTTAGATTTATAAATCCTACTCTCATCTCTCTTTTGAGCTCCAGTCCAACATCCCCAAATGATTATTGTACATCTTAAACTCAACTTGTTCAAAACAGAATCCATTCTCTCCCCCACCTCCAAAAAAAATCTGCCTCTTTTACAAACCTTCCTATTTCCGTCGAGTGAACCACCATCTTCCCAGTCAGTCAGGTTCACAACCTTAGTGTAATTCTTGACTTCTCCCTTTTATACACCTCACATATCCAGTCAGTAGCCAATTCTTGTCATTTCTACTTACACAGTATGACTTGCATCTAACCCCTTCTCTCCACTCCTAGCCACCATCCTAGTTCAGGCACATATTACCTCTCCCCTGGACCATCACAACGGCCTCTTAATGGTGTCCCCGCAACCAGTCTTTCCCCACTCCAATTCAGCTTACAGAAGTATCAAAGTGATTTTCCTAAAAGCACAGTTCTGAAAACACATTCTCTTACTCAAAAAACTCTGGTGGTTCCCTTTTTGCTTTTAAGATCAAATAAAAACTCTCCTGGAATTTGAAATCTCTTTGTGACCTGGCCTCAACCTATCTTTTCAGCCTTATTACATTTTTACATTTTATTTCTCCCTTTTATGAATACTGTGGTCTAGCCAAACTCACCTCTTACTTTTCCTCATATGTGACACTTCATCATGCCATATTTGCACTAGAATGCATTCCTTCCTCTGTTCCACCTATGAGAGTTCCTAGTTTCCATCCAGGTTTAGCTCCAATGTTACCTTCTCTATGTGGCCTTTCCTAACACCCCCCAACTCCTAGAGCCTTTCCTTCCAAATGACCTTCTATCTATTTTATATATGTACATGTTGTCTTTCCTCCAACCCAGATTGTAAGATCTTTGCAGGCAGCTAAGTGTAGAAGTGGATAGAGTCCTGGATCTGGAGTCAGGAAGACCTAAGTTGAGATCTGACCTCAGACACTTGTAGTTGTATGATCCTATGCAAATCACTTAACCAGCCTGCTTTACCAGCCTGTTTCTTCATCTGTAAAACAAGGGTAATTATGGTACCTACTTTCCAGGATTGTTGAGGATAAAATGAGGTGTTTGCAAAGCTCAAAGTGCTATATAAATGCTAGCCATCATTATTATTCAGATAGTCCAGTTAGCATCCTGGGAGGCTTCAGAAGGAAGGAGCGTCCTGGAAGAAGGGTGCCAAGTAATATAACTCCAAGGGTGGTGTAATGTCAAAGTGGGCAGGAAATACAGCTCTTCTCCAGGAAGTACCCCTCCCTTCAAGAAATGGGTCTGCTATACAAAGGAATTTGTCTATAATAGTCTATATAGTAATCAATAGATGTATATTATTACTGTTGTACATTAAAGCAAAAATCACTCATAACAAATCATAAAGCAAACATACATGTGTGGAGGGATTTGTATAAAGGTAATATGGAGAGAAAAAAAAAACACTAAAAACTAGAGGGAATCAAGAAAGTTTTCACATAAGTACTAGCACCTGAGCCTTAAAGGAAGCTAAGGATTCTAAGATCAGAGGATCATAGGTATAGAGATGGATGGAACATCAGATGAGGAAAGTGAGACCAAGGGAGGTTAAGTGACTTGTCCAAGTCCTACCATGCTGATAGTAATCATCAGAGAAGGTATTTAATCTCAGGTCCATTGTATCTAAAGCCACTGTACTGCATTACCTTTCTGAAACAGTGATAAAGGAATACATTCCAGATATTTGGGGCCATCCTGAACTAAGGCATAGAAATAAGAGATCGAGTTCAAATGTATCAGGGGTCTGGAGAGACTAGACACAGACACAGAATACCCGCTATGAAGATAAGGCCTGAGTTCTCATTGGCTGGCCTCCTATTAGCCAAAAAGTAGGGCCAGTAAGCTAGTTTGCCTGAAAGGTAGAATGCAGCAGGAAGAGGAATATAAAATGACTGGAAAGGCAGGGAAATTGAAGTAACAGTTGGTGAGTGTTATTATCCTGGACAAACCATTCCTGATGAATGAGAAAAAATTTCACCTGTCCTATCTCCCTCAACCATTCTTTTCTATTCTTGTTTCCCCATAAAGAAACAGGACTGAGCAGAGAGCAGGCACTTGGCAAAAGGCCAGGAGATTGTTTTCTTACCCTGAATCAGGGATCACTTTCCTCCAAACCTCATTCTTCCTTCACTCACTCACTCACCTCCACAGGAAGGCATACTCGGCAGCTTCATTCCAGACCTGGAGAGGGAAAGGAAGAAGGGAGACAGAAAGAGAGAAACATTCTGGGAAAAATCTGTTATGTTGGTCTCCTGTCTTGCTCTCTGGGTGTTTGGAAGCATCCTCTCCAGGAGTAATCCTCAAGGAAAGGAGAAGGAAAGAGAGCTGGAACTAGGCTACTCAACATTCAGACTCAGTATACCTTTTGCCTTTCTAATATTCTCTTGAAAAATCTCAGGTTGGTCTGTTCTGATACTGAGTAACAATCCTAGGGCCATGTTGCCACAATGTTACTCTAACACTAAAGAACATGGAAAGTAGCTTTTTATGGAAAGAATTTGGATTGGGGATGTTGGCTCAACTCTTTTCTCTAGAAGCTGTGTTACCTTGGCCAAATCATTGAATTTCTCTCTAGTTTTCTCAACTCTGAAATGAGGATGATTAATAGCTGTTCTTCCTTAATATACAAAGTTGTTATGAGGCTCAACTGAGGTTACTTTTATTTTATTTTTTAAAAAGTCCAGACCACTGACTCCCCCCTCCCCAAAAGGGTCTCATGCCACAGAAGAGCTTCTGTCCAGTGTCTTAGCCAAGGCTACCAGCCAATAAGTCTCTGGTCTTTAAAGAGGGTGGAGATAAGGGCCTATACAGTATATGAAGACTGGAAAGAAAATGGCATCATTTGAACTCCTAGATCCCAACCCCTGGTTTACTCATAACAAATTTCAATCACAATAAAAAGCAAACCAGAGAACTAGCCAAGAGAGCTTCCCCTACCCTTTCCCCTCAGGTGGTGAGTCTGAGGAAAAAATCTATTTATTTAGATAATGATTGCAGCTAACCTTCAGTCATCTATGACCTCAAATTCTATCCCCCCAAAAAACAAAAAATGCGGCTTGGATAGGGGAAAAAACAGTGAACTGGTAATCTGCAGACCTGCCCCACCTCTCCTACTAACTTGCCAGGCAATCTTTCCTCAAATCCACCTCGTGATGCCATATCTAAGGTTATTCCACTTAGTTTACACTCAGGAAACATGACGGTGTTGGAAGGGGGGTGGGGAGGAAGGGAGCAGGAGAGGGGCAGGGTCGTGACCCTGAGTCCTTCATATAATGCCTCTCCAAACTGCAGGAAGAGCAGCCTTTTAGGTTTTGTCCTGCATTATAAAGGGCAGAGCTGGCAGGGGCTGAGTAATTGGGGAATCCCAGAGGAACCTCGAGAGGTCACGTCATCCACAGCTCTGCCAAGGGCCCGAAGCCCAGACGGGATGGATGGGCTAGGCCCGGGCCCTCCTCTGGCGCTGGGATGCCCAGGGCATTCAGGTCCTGTGCCTCCGCCCAAACTGCTGGTCCCACAGAAGCCCAGGGACAGCGCCGCCCTCCTCGACCCCAGCACTTTGGGGCGGTGGGAGGGGACGCCGGGACCATCTGCGCAGGGCCTGGGGGATGCCCGGCTCAGACCAGAGGGTGTGGGGCGCCCGTCGGGGTGGCGGGCGGGCGAATGAACAGGAGCCGCCGGCCCGTACCTTGTCCACCTGGGCCGCGCGGAGCAGGTCCGGCGCCTCCAGGAAGGAGAAGACGTGCAGAAGCCCGTCCAGCGGCAGCGCTGCCGGGGTCCCCATCCCTTCAGCCCTCTTCGGCCAGCCCCGCCGACTTCTCGGAGTCTCGGCCGCTGCCTACGCCTAGCTCCGCCCTGTCTTCGCTTCCGCCCCGGCGGCCCAGGCCCTGTCCCCGCCTCCAGTCCCAGGCCAAGCTCCGAGGCTCCGCTTCGCCCCGCCTCCCCCAGCCTGGCCCTTTTCGGGACCCTGCTGCGGTCGCCCTGGCCCGGGGGAGTCTCTACCTGGAGAATTCGGCCTCACGGCCTTGCCCTGGGCGGAAATCCCGTGCTTCTGGGCCGGCCCCCAGGCCTCCTCCCTTCCACCACACCGCCTTCCCCCCCCCCCCCCCCCGCTTCCCCCCCACCCCGGCCCCGAAGCTCTCCAGGCACCGGGGCAGATAAGGCTCGAAAATGGGCGACTGGGCGGCCTGGGCAAGTGACCCCTGGGGCCACCGGGACAGAACGGCCTCCGCCTTCGGCATCTGTTTTTTTCCACATTAAATTCATCATTTTATCTCGTGTGTGTGTGTGTGTGTGTGTGTGTGTGTGTGTGTGTGTGACTACACAGGCCTCTTCAAATCACTTATTTCGAGTGATCGAGATAAATACACAAACCTTTCCAATGTGACTACACATGCTTGTTATAGTTATCCCGTCAAGTAAAAGGAGGTGGCTGGAGACGTCAGTAACTAGCCAAAGTAGTCAAACATCTCTAATTTTACCTCATAATATAATCAAGGAGCTTACATTTTTTATGGGACCCTTGCTAATAACAACCCTCCCTTATTCGCTTTTAAGTTACTCTTTCTGAAAGATTTTTGATCACCATCCCCAGGCACAGATTATCCCTCATGTCTAGTTTTTAGGGTAGTGATCTTACCCGCGGTTCTTTGTCAGGACTCATAAGTAATTGATTTTAAAGACTTTAAAGAAGTATTTAGCTTCTTAATCCAACTGGTTTTTCAATAACCAGAATTTTCTTCAAATAGTAATTTTACATATGCAATGTCTTAAATATGTTCCCCACCTGTCACACTGAAAACTACCTTGGTCTAAGTTAGACCACATCTAGAGCTTTGGGGTTCAGCTCTGAAAGCCACATTTTAGGAAAGACTTTTACAAGCTTGGGACAATCCAAAGAAGAGCAGCCACAGTGGGGAAGAGCTTCAGTATTGTGCTATAGTGTGTGAAAGGGCAGATGGAATGGCCCTTAGGTCATGGAGGGGAGAATCTGATAACTCTTCACTAGGCTTTCACTATGGAAGAGGGATTTGGCTTGTCTGAGAGGCAGATGTAGGCTTATAAAGGAAAACTTTCTAATAATAGGAGGTATCCAAAAGTGAAATGTGCTGCCTTCAGAAGTGATGAGTTCCCATCCCTGGAGGTCTTTAAACAAAAGCCAAGGTGCCATTTGTAAGAAAAGCTTCTTGTTCAGGTATGGATTGGACTAGATTAGGCTCTGAAGTTTTGTGATTTTGTAGCTCTATGGGCAGGTGATCTATTATTATCCCCATTTTATAGGTGGGGATGGACACTTGGAGAGGTTGTAAGTTGTTTATGGTTAAACTACTAAATGCCAAAGCCATAATTTGAATCTCCATCTCCTGACAGCAAGTTCAGTCTTTTTTTTTTTCCTTTTCGGCTAGGCAATGGGGTTAAGGGACTTGCCCAGGGTCACACAGCTAATAAGTGTTATGTGTCTGAGGTCCGGATTTGAACTCAGGTCCTCCTGAATCCAGGGCCGGTGCTCTATCCACGGTGCCACCTAGTTGCCCCAAGTTCAGCCTTCTTTCCATGGGTGCTAATATGTCATCAATTTGATGCCTTAGCTTTCTGTCAAGTAGGGGAACAAGACACTACAGTAAAAAGAAGAACATAAAATATTATGGAACACATTCGTACGAGTGGCATAAATAAAAATGCTGGGTGAGGTCTGTGGGTATTCTATTCCATTGCAACATTTCTTAGATTTAAAGAGGATTTCATGGGGGGAAAAAAAGATTGACCACTAAGGCAAAGTAAAAGATCTTTATTGGTTGAGTTTTACCTTATAGAAGGAAAGACTATAGAGGCACACAATGATGGAAGTATGAAGGAAGAAGGAGGGGGGGAAAAGGGTAGGACAATCACCAGGGTAGTGCCTATCCCCTGGATTCAGTTTATCAATACACCAAACTCTCATCCCTTCTAGATTTGATAGGTGGGCTCCCCAGGTTCATTAATCAGACCAACTCCATGATTCAGAAGAGGGGTAAGGATTTTGGAAGAAAGGGCCCAATTGGCTAGAAATTCCAGAAAAATGAGCAGGGTAGGCTAAGGAAATGGGGCATGTTTAAGCCTGTTACAATGAAGTCTAGGCCCTGAAAACTGGAAAGTCTACAGTAGCGTGGAAGGTTCTTACCAAGGATCATGGGAGATTCCCTGGTGGAGTTGGCATTTGAATATTGCATGCCATGTTCCAGGTGCCAAAACCAAAGTTTTGTGTAAAGGCATGAAAGTTTTGTGACCATTTATTTAGTATGATGAGTGATGGAGAAAGAACAGGGAACAAATAATGAATAAAGGAAGAATGTGTTGCTATGGGTTTGGGCATAGAGGATAAAATTCAGAATTAGAAAGACTCTTAGCAGTCATTCAATAAAACCTCTAACCTGATGTAGGAATTCCCTTAACAACAACCTTGGATGGGGTGGGGGTAGGGCATCCAGAAACTGAAATGGATCAATCCCAGAACAGAGAGACATACAACCAGTCAGATTGCCTGTACCCAAACTGAAATTCTAGGTTTTCCCAAATGAGGAAACTGAGTTTATTTTAATGTAGTAGAGATGGCCTAAGTTGGTAATAATAACTTCTGGGTTATAGAAATGAAGAGACAAGTTTTATTCTTCTACTGGTCCTTCCACTATGCTGTCAACCTTGTACTTTCAAAATGGCACTTTGTTGAGAGGGGGACTGAAACTAATAGCTGATTGGTAGGGGCAATAGCATCTATGGAAACAATCAAAAGGAGATACATTGTACTAAGAGTGTGATGGTGGTTTCTGACAACTCTAAAGTATATTATTGTTTCCTAGTGAGCATTCTCTCCTACTTGCTGTATCCGTTATAGGATATTTGATTTCTCACCTCCCCACCTTTGGACAGGCTACTCCCCTTCTTGGAATGCTTTCTCTCCTCACCTCTGCTTCTTGGAATTTCTATCTGCTTTTGAGTCTTAGGTCCCTCCTCTTTTCTATTTTTCCAGTTGTTAGTATTGTCTCATCACCCCAAGTTGCTTTTTAATTACCTCATATATTCTTTGTATTTACTTTATATATCTGTTTCCCCACAGTAGAATACAGTCTCTTTGAGGTGAGAGATTGTTTCATTTGTTTTTCTAACTCTAGGGCCTAGAATTGAATTGAATTGAGGTGACTTAGTCATTCTTAGTCACATGGTACACAAGTGTCAGAGGTCAGAGCCAGGATGGGATCCCAAGGTCTCTTGATGACAAATCAAGATCTTTCCTCTACATCCCACTGGCTAATATCCCTTCCAGCTTGAGCATTTAATGATAACCTTTGCATCCTCATCTGGAAGAGGACCTGAGTCATGAGCTAATGCAGAGTACCTACCACATTAGTAAGTGTCAAAGGAAGAGATTAGGAGCATAGCTAGGAGCCAAACTTCACAGTTTGAGTATAGGCGGCCTAGTTAAATTAGTGAGAAGTCCAGATTGCAGGCTGTTTTAAGAGAATCACTTTATTACTTTCAAGAATTGGACAGTGTGCATTTTGCTAAGAGAAATAGGGACTACTGGGGGGGGGGAGAGAAGGAGGAGAAGGAGGAAAAGGAAGAAAAGGAGGAGGAGGAGATGAGAGAGAGAGAGAGAGAGAGAGAGAGAGAGAGATGCAGATTACAAAATACCCACCTTGTGAGGAAAATGCTTATTAAATAACCAATTATTGGGGAGACCCAGGGTTTTTTCCCTTCCTACTTCTTCATTCTCTACTAAGTCAAGCCAGCATCTGAATGACATTGCTGTTGAGAATGGATTAATTTTCTCCTCAATCTTGTTCATATCCCACCCAAGTTGGGGAAACCCATTGTGTTCTACTCAGGTTTGGGTGGGGAATAAATCTTTTATCTAGATTGCCTGTGTCTGGGGGTGGCCTGAGTCCAAGAGTGATCAAAGTCATATCCCCCAGCCCCTCACTAGAATAGGTCTACCTCTCATTATAATATTCATTCTCTCATTACTTGTTAACCAATATGAGTTGATTTCCACTGTCAGAAAATCCACTCTTCCAAGGGCATATAAGTGTTGAGTGGGTTCCATTCAGGGTCCTTGGCATTTGAGAGTGCCACTTGCCTCTTGTATTAATTACTTGCTAGCATAATTAATAAAATGATTAATTACACAGAAACTATGTCTCTTGAACTTTTCATGCTACATTTTCGTAGCCAGCCATGCCATCCAATAAGTATTTACCCACCTACCTTGTAAAAGACTCCTGGGCCCTCCTGCCAGGGAGGGACTCTAATGTGGAAGACCATCACCTGGGTGGGGGAAGGATTGATTTTTATGAGAATCTAAGCATTAGTCAAAAAGACCAGGCCAAGTTGGTATGAAGGTTTCTTCAAAAGTCTCCTAATAGCCAAGGGTTTGAGTCAGAAGCAGGAAACCATTTGTAAGTGCAGCAATTCAGGCTGGGAGGTCAGTGCTGGACAGGAGACAAGATACAAGGAATTGGGGGGCGGGGGAGATGGGGAGGGAAGCTGACTGTTTCCTGAACAAAGAATGTACATTTCTCATGACTCTTTGGTTGTTTGAGAAAGTCATGAACTTTCTTAAAGATGTTACTTTCACTGACAACTCCTTAGAATAGAAATCTGTTTCCCTTTCCTGAATCAACAGAATGTCAGTAAGTATTCATAGAAGAAGTGAACGTTGATGATAGGTAGGATTCAAGTAGGGAGGAAAGAAAGGGAGGGTATTGGAGGTGCAGGGGGGAGGTTTGTTGTTGTTTTCTCATGTCCAACTCTTTGAGACCTCATTTGGGATTTTCTTGGCAAAGATACTGAA